AACTGTATCTTCAGGTGATCCCCAAAAACAGTCAGACAGCATGAAGAGAAAGGGAGAGGGAGATGGAAAGAGTATGACAACTGAGAGAAAAAGACATTAGAGAGAAAGAGGAACGCCCCTGATGAGTGGATCAATTTGTAAGTGGAGGAAAAGATAGGAGGATAGGATATTTAATGGAAATAGTTTTGCGTGCGTGTGTGTGTGTGTGTGTGTGTGTGTGTGTGTGTGTGTGTGTGTGTGTGTGTGTGTGTGTGTGTGAAGGAATATGGAACTGTTTTTGGCGGTCTGTTTTTGTCTTCAACCCTTTTGCTTAACATTTTGCTGAGACCTAAAGAAAATATCAATTGAACACATTTTAAGTAGATCAAAATGAAAGACATCTATAGCAAAATGCTTGAATATAGTTACTGCCCCTTACATTTCTTCAACTGCACCTTTTCATGGAATGAGTGATTTTAATCTAATTTTTCAGTAAGCAAAGTTCTAAGACTTTGTGTGAGATAAATCACTTTATTTTCAGCCCAAAAAACACTGGTTTCCTCTTGAAAAGAATCAACTGGGATAACTGAAATACACTTGAGAGGCACAGAACCCCAACCCTACAGCCAGCGCAAAGTGAAGGTGTCATTGTTATTTTTTACTTGACACAGTTGATGTTTTTAAGGCCAATGCCTTAGCTGTGTAGGCACCCACGGGCACTTTGGTCTGATAATACAGTATAGTCAGACACACACACAGTACATTGCTCACTCTAGGATGAGAAAAGCAACTATGCTTTAAACCAAGAAAATCCATGTTCACGCCTCTGTGCTTTCCTGCAATTTACAGGGCACATTATTGGGGCAGTAGGACAGGCATATGTCAGAGAGTTCTCTGTTTGTTATTGCGACATGTAGCAACACTCTTTTTCATGAGTAAATATCAGTGTATTTGCTGATAAAGTGGAATCATTCTTTTTATTTACCAAAATAAAGAACTCAGAGATATTAAGGGTTTAAAATCTCTTTCTCCTCATATAATAATTCAGCCTTTAAAACTGGGTTGACCTAGGGATACTGGAGGACCAGTACAGCCTAAAGGGGTGTTCAGACCAAACGTGACCAGGTCGCGTCGCGTCGGTCGGTAGACTTTGCATTGGGAGCCGTTGCCGACGTCGCGTTTGGTCTGAACACCCCTTAACAGCTAACAAGACCCCCTTCGCCTTGGCCCCTGCACAGGCCAAAATACACAAAGTAGTCCAACACCAAATACTCTGTCATGCATAAGACCATATTATTCTCTTGGCTCCTTCAAATACGCCCAGAAACAGACTCACTCTCTCACAAATGCACGTTGAAAACAGTGCATATGTTCATATTTTAAGCATATGGCACTGCAGCTATTTTAAAGTTGGCTATGTTTCCTGCATGCAGTAATTGTGAAGCTTAAATATTCTTTCTGGTAGTAACATTATTCCATTACCTTGACCATCATGCTTAGACAGATGCTTCTTACATACAGGTGTTCGAATCTTGCAGAGAAAAATGAGAGAAACAAAAAGTTATCAGTCAATTTGAGAGTGTATTGTGGGTCATAATAGCAGATAAAACGTGCCAGCTTGTTCGTTGAGAATTCACCATCTACTGCATTTCTAGAGGTTTACATTAAACTTCATGTCAAAAATCATGTCAAAACCTCTATTATTCAGATATACAAATGATATTGAACTGTAATTATGATCTACGCAAGACTTAGTGTAAAAAGGATTTTAGCTACATCGCAGTGTTTCAATTTTTTTTACTAAATTGTAAAGAAGCAGTTTAGGATTTGATTTCCAAAGTTTGAAAAGCAAAACAAAACAAAGAAAAAAGGATTCTTTAAAAAATTTTTTTTCACTTTTTCATATCATGACTTTGACAAAAACAAGCTCAAATGCACAGGCCCAGCCTGCTTTATTGCAACTCGCTGATTTGACTGATCTCTTTCTCTTTTAATCATTTTGTCTTTAGTTAGATCCTCTTCATTCACATTCATTGTCCATCAATGTCTCAAGGTAAATAAGTAACTGAATAAATTATTACCAGCTATCACATATTTGGTGCACTGAGGTCAGTGTTTGATTTTCTTGCCTTGTGCTTCTTAAGATTTTGGCTTTGCATTATACCAGCTCAAAATGTCTTGTCTCCTCCTGAGGGTCTGTCTCCAGAGCAATTTCTGCAGTGTGCCATCCCCTCGACTATACCACCCCACAGGGACCTGAACCTTGTTAATTAGGTTATGTTAAATATTTCTGTTCAGTTAAAGTTGTATTATCATAGTCATTTTGCTGTGTTATATTTCTTGTGTAACACATTTCAATTGAGAGAACAGGGTTATGTTGAAATAAAAAAAATGTCTAGGCCACAATGTTTAATAATATGGACATTAACAGCCATGTTAAATATCCGTAGGCCGATGTCTTACTGAATTTTGAGAGTAGTCTAAAATTCTGTTGGTGTTCTGAGCCTGTTGATCGCCAACTAGTAGTGAAATTGTTCGCCTCGGGCCCTAAGCTCCCTCTTCTTTTGGGTTCCTCTGGACTGTTACTGCAGACATGAACATCAGCCTCACTGACACTAATAACATAAAACTAGAGTTAACTTCTATTAGGCCTGCTGACTGTAATCACATTAAATTAATCTAACATTGTCCATAATGACTCATATCCTAACCCTGTAAACTGAATTCATTTTGTTTCACTATTACATGAGCTGTTGTTGTTGCTGTTGTTTTAATATTGCTGCTGTCCCCTGTCTCTGGACTCTATTTTCGCGTCCGCCGGTGATGCGGCGGACAGTGGTGGACTCTACGCAGTGGTATTTTCGTCCAGTGAAGCCCGGCGCACAGCCAGTTTGGTATTTTTGTAGACTGAGGCGCATTCTGTCGACAACTCCCCCTGCCACCCATCCATGCCCAGCTTGGCGGATGGGCGGCAGGGGGAGTTGTCGACAGAATCAGCTGGCGCAGTGACATTTTCGTGCTCGCCGGTGGCGTGAAAAGTGCGCTGAGAGCTCGCCGATTCAAACCTGGTCAGCTTTCAGCGCAGCTGGTCTAGAGGTATTTTGGTAGACCGGCGGCGTATAACGCATAAGTCACAGATGCCTCACAGTGCAATAAATAATCATCAACAACCAATATTCTGGGTCAGCACACACATTTAGATCTATATCGATATATTCTGATCTATATCTGATCTGATGAGCGCATTTGGCACGCGTTTGGACACGCCACCTGACCGAATTAACACAGCTGAAACCGCATTAAATTAGATATCCAGTAAACAGTTACACTTGATGAAGTTAACAAGATATTTAATTCGTCTCCCCGCTTATCCTACTTCTTCCTCGTGCAGCTCGATAGGTGTTATGCTGTAGAATGCACTCCCGCCATAGAATGCATCCCCTGCATCCCATCCACTCAGCTTCTTAAAGTGGAAAAAAATTATCTCATATTTAAAAAAAACACAGGTATTGGATCATGACAACATGTCAAATGGAGCAGCAAACTTTCGTTCTGTTTTTTGGTATTTAAAAAATGCACATACAGAGGTGTACTTGGGTATATAAACTGTACAGTAAACTGTTAAGGTAGAGAACATTATATTTTTTTTTGGGCAGCAAATATTCCGAATCAGAGGGCTATTGTTTTCGGCATATCTGAATAGCCTGAATGAAATCATTAAAGGCACACACTTTTGAATCAGTCCAACGGTAAGGAAAACTCGGATTATTTCGCCTTGTTATGTACTTTCAACTGCGCTTCCATCAGGGGTGCATTCTAAGGCAGGGTGCATTCTATGGCACAACATCTGACATGTCTCCCTGTCCTTTCTCCGTCTTGCTGCTGCAGTGGTGGCACGGCAGACCAGATGATTTATTTTAGTGATCAGGGGCCTTATGTATCAATACTTGCGTGGAACTCATACCAGAAACGAGCGCACGCAAGGTCCGTCACGCTGAAAAAAATCCGTATGTATCAATGTGTGCGGGCGCCGAAATCCACGTGTGTTTCCTTGATAAATCCCAATCAGCGTGGAATTGAGCGCAGATGTCGGAGTGACCGGGCCCGCCCCCGTTACGCCCTCCTATAAATATGCAGATTTATTTAAATAGGGTCTCCCTGTCCTTGCACGCAGACAAAATGACAAGAAAAACTAAATTTACAGCGTGCGAGGTGGAAGTGCTGGTGGCGGAGGAGATGGAGGAGCGACAGCGTGTTTTGTTTGGCAGCCTGTCCAGTGGCGTCAGTGCAAAACAAAACAATTGGCGTGGGAGAAAGTTTGCGAGAGGGTGAACGCGGTGGGTTCCGAGACACGCACCCCCGCGAAGATTAAAAAAAAGTGGTCGGACCTCAAGGTGGAGGTCAAGCGGCGTACAGCTGTCCTCCGAAGGAGTACTGGCCAGACAGGTGGGGGTCCGGGGGAGGAGGCCCTCACAGCGTTTGAGCAGCGGGTGGTGGCGATTATTATTATAGGGTAAGTGGCGTGTCACACAAATGTCCACATGCTTTGCCATCCCACTGAGCAAAAGACATATATTAGACGTCTAGTCTAAGTTTATACTTCATTTCAACGCCGGGATTCAGTCTATTTTTAGACGTGATTTATACTTCGCCCTTAACTTCATTTTTCGATAACTTTTTATGCAATAAACAACTGTAATGTGCATAACCGACCTCGAAACACTGGATTACATTACCTATGATACCGTGGAGAGAGATGTAAATGCAACAGATACACAGAAGCAGGAATTGAAATGAACTAATATTTTTATTGTGTCACAGAAATCTATGTGTCGGCCGTGTCGCCGGCTTGCGGAACCCCGGCCCGCGGCAGCCCGTCCGCCGGCTCGGAGTCGTCGGCCAGGACCAGCAGCATTCGGGCCACCCCGGCCCCCGGCCCCCGGCCCCCGGCCCCAGCACCAGCATCAGCACCAGCGCGCCGACAAGCGGTGGAGCGTCCACCAGCCGCGGCGCTTCCGCTGGACCACCCGGACGCAGTGGAAGGGTCCTCACGGAGGGGGTCCTGCAATCGGAGGAAGAAATCATCAGGGGGATCGCGGGGATCAACGAGCGGCTGGACCGGCTCGTAAATGTCCTCGAGCGTCTGGTGGAGAAAATAAATTAATTTGGCTCATTGAACTGTGTATTCACTTCTTACCCATTCACACTGTGGCGATGAGATTCTCCCGCGCGAGGACGGCTGCCCGGCAGGGATCAGCTCGCATCCCTCTGTCTGCTGCTGGTTCGTCATGTGGGGCGACGTGCTGCTCGGCCACGGGGATGTGGTGCACGCTTGTCACATAGTGAGTCACCAAACACCGCCACACAGCGTCGCCAAACTGCGAATCACAGTCAACGCAAGTATCGGCTCAACGCCAATTTCTACACCACCTCCTAACTTTGCGTTGATTAGCGCTGGAACCGTTTCGCGCTAATGATAAATGATAAATCTGGACGTGTGCGCCGATTTTGGCGTACGCAAGGTTTTCTTGCGCCGCAAGCGTTGATACATAAGGCCCCAGGTGAGTTATTTACTTCAAAAATTTGAACAAAAAAATAAAATAAAATAAAATAAAAGAACCTTTCACTCAAAATTACCTGTTTATCTGATTTCCTCATTAAGATTCTGTAAATATTCAATCTGGAGTCAGGCCCACATACGAAAATTATAATATTCAGTTTTGTGAGTCAAATTCATTTTATATGCCAACATCTATGAAAGAAACAGCCAGGCCAAGGAGCGCGATGCGTCCTTTACGCACAGATGGTTCGGATTTTAATGCCATTATTGGAATTTATGATCTGTGCGCACAACCTCTGTGTGGGGTTTAAATAAAAAAATTAAATGCAACTTTATGTGAGTGTCTTTATTTGTGGAAAAGGGTGTTTGTCTTACCAGTGGGTACAACCTTACGCACACCAAATCCATCTGTGCTTACTTGAGAGAGTGCGAAGGACACCCTCTGCAGCGCTTACAGTGACACTTGTTTAGTGGCTGCCTTCTGTCGCCATCGTGTGGCATCGCTGTCTTCAGACATCTCTTAATCTCTTAGACTACTTCACAAAAATAGTAATATGCCTCGCCGGTGGCGGATTTAAAGGTGAGGAGAGGAGCTGATGTTATTGGTCAATACAGGTCTTGGCTGTGTCAAATCCACTCCACGCCCTCTCTCCTCCCTCCCTACGACTTCCGCCGCTGGGAGGAGCTGAGTTAGGGAGGGTGGATACTTACGCCGGGCTGCGCCGCTCACCAAAATACCAAATTGTGCTTGGGAACGCCTTGTCAGCGCGGCGGACCTGACTTATGCCGCACCTGTGCCACGTCTCTGGCGAGGCACGAAAATAGAGCCCTCTCTCTCTCTCACCCTCATTCTCTACTCTCTCTCCCTCCCTCTCCCTTACTCATTCTCTCTCTCCTTTCCTCTATCTTGTTCTCTTTCTCTCCCCCTGCCCTCTCTCCACTTCTCTCTCTCTCTCTCTCTCTCTCTCTCCCCCTATCTCTCTGTATTCCTCCCCAACCCAGCAGCGGCTTGGTGACTGTCTGGCATGAGTCTGGTCCTGCTCAAGGTTTCTGCCTGTTAAAAGGAAGTTTTTCCTTGCCACTGTTACTCATGTTAGATGAGATGGGCCAAATCCCTTCTTAGGTTGGGTCTTGATAATTCATCAAACAATGAGCGTGGTGTAAACCTGCTCTTGTTCTTTGAAAAACATCTTGGGATGGCGACTGTTGTGAATTGATGCTATATGAATAAAATTTGATTTGATTTGAAAACATCACATATTCAATGATTTTAGTTGGATTTGTATAATTTTTTTCTATGGAATGACAACACTGTTTGGTGAAAAAAAATTGCATATTGATTGATCTCTTAACCTGGGGGAATAGTTGATTGCCAATAAGGTAAAGATGAAAATCTTGGAAAAAGTGAAAAAAAGGGCCTCATTTTTTGTATAACTTGTTCCAAAATCATGTAGAAATGTGTTTAAAGAGTTATTTTTTTATTGGATGTTGTCACCACATGTGGTCTGTGTACCTGGAATGCATTTATTGAAAACTTGCCCAACCCACAAAGGATTTGAGGAAAAATTTTATTTTGCAAAATTTTCTATCAAAAAAATACAGGATACCTACACTAAAATGGCCACAATTTTTTTGTTTGCAATGTTTCAAGCAAAGCAGACCCTCTAATTATTGGTTCTTTGGGTCAAAGTTAACAGAAAACACAAAGTATAACAGACCATGTCAGGTTTAACCCATTTTACAGCAAGCTTTCATCACCCTCTGACTAGTAAGATAACACTCTTCTTTGAGACTTTGGCTCCCAGACTACAGTCTGTTTACATTAAACATAGCAGAGGTTGACCACACTGTGAGGATCTGTTGAGTTTAAACAACTTACCAGATAATCGGACCTCCTCACCCTCTTTCCTCCAGCTGAGCTCTTTTTTTCTCCTGTGTCAGTGTCACAGACAAGTTTTATCCTCTTGTTCTGGTGGCTGCAAATTTTATCAATTGGTTAATCCCCCGTTTTCTGTTCTTGACATACATCACTGAGATATCTCCATGCTGATTGGTTATCGTAACGCAAACATTCACTTGAGTTGAGATATTTTCAACTTGTGTGAATTGTCTGCTCAAATCGCAGTAGTCCTCTTAATTTGTGCAATTCACGCTCACCATTCACATCAGTCGCAATGCCCAAGTAGAACACACATCTAATTGCATCTTTGCATTGACTTAACATGTAATTCATTCGCGCAAATGATTTTACACGCTCTTGGTGTGAACCCAGTCTGTTTTGTGTAGTACAACCCACATCAGGTGTTATGTTTTATTTTCAAGTTGTTATTCCTGAGGTTGTTATTTACATAAACGTGACATACTGAGCAACATACAGTTCATTGGCAATATTAAGTTTCTCAGTGACCTGGACTGGATTTCATTCAGCCTAAAACTCAGTTTAAAAACGAAAAAATCTTACATTTTGGTTAATGCACAAGTAACTTTTTTCCATTTTTTTTTCATCAATTTTAATTAAAAATTTTACAGTGGAAACATCTTCAGTGCAAAAATAATTTCAAACTTGGTCTGTATATTGGAAGGTCACTAAAATGGTACTGTGTGGATTTTGAGTTTTGTTATAATTTTATTGTCATAGCTTTACTTAAAAATGCAGAAAATAGAGAACATGTGGATTACTAAAAGATGTGCCTGCGCTCCTCTTTTGTAAATTATGAAAAATTCCAAAGCCCGGCTAAGTGATTCTTTGACGTCCGAGTTAACGTTGAAGATAACTTAAACCTTGCTCCTCATTCATTGCTCCAAAGTTTCAAAGTTCACCTCTTCTGGCAAACTTTTACGGTAATGGTGGAAAAATGTTAAATACATTTAGTTAATGATAAGATTGCAACATGCCCATTCTCTAGATGTTTAGACTTAAGGAATTATGTTATTTTTACTGATGCCATTTGACTTATTCTAAAACTCTTTATCAGATAATTGTTTCATTGGGTTTTTCAACCTCATGACCTGCATTCATGCTCTGTCTTCTTCTGAGGCACATCTTTTCCTTTAAGCTTAATGACACCCAGTCAAAGGAAAGATATGCAATAGTTACATATCTTGATATACTATTATAATCAAACTATTAATCATATTGAATGAGGTTGTAATGACTCCTGTCATGGTGTCTTGATAATATTGAAAACATAAAATCCATCACATTGTATTGACTTTCTACTCATTGGTTCAAGATGGGCTCTGTCTAGTTCGACCTTAGTAGGCTTTACAATTTAAATCTCAGCTTGAAAAATATTGAAAGTATTTACCTAGACCAATACCCTCTCATGGACTCACTCCAAGAAACACCCAAAAGCAGCAGCCCATGTTGTTTTACATTTTATTAATAGCAACATCAGAGTACTAAATGTACAGAGGACGAATTCAATGAGAATCGCATTTACAGTGCTTGCAAATACAGAGCTTAGTAATACAAGAGTAACTAAATCAAAGTTACCTGAAATCGAAACATTACCAATAACTACAAAAGGAAGAGATGTGGTTCATAAGACACAAAAAAAGTTATACAACACTTAGCTGTCACAGAGACAGACTGGAGTCCCTTTGTGTAGTTGTATGTGAGTGTGTGCATGTGTGTCATTGTGTCTGTATATACTATCATCATAGGTTTTATACAAAAGTTAACAGAGGTACTCATTGATATATTAAACACAAATATAAAAAGTTTAAGAGTCACAAAGTACAAACTCTTCATTTTTATGGCGACAACACAACTCGAGTCAGGTTCCTTTATGGTAGGTATGAATTGTGATTGTAAGTCAGCTTCACTGAGCATGCCCAGATGTGATCCCCCACCCCAACACACACACAAGCACCACCACCCAAAAACTCAAGAAAAAAAAAAAAGAGAGACAGAAACATCTACCCCCAACCAAAATCTAAAGAAACATCCCATTAAACATGTTAATGATTTATTTTATTAACGCCACTGTCCACTCTGACTTGATCAGCTCTCAGAAAACAAGCAACCACAAGAAAAACAGTCTGCTAATTTCCCCTCTGTCATTGTTATGTCAGTCATTTAGGGCCTACACATTCTTCTGAAGACATTGCACAGTGTCAGGCCCTTTATGTAAATCAAATGTCAACAATTTTGGGTCATGCAGTTAGTCTGCAATGAGCAAAGGTACCATAGGGGGATTGAAGTGTTACTAACAAGGAGTTGTTTTTCTTTTCATGTTTTTTTCAAGTCTTTCACTTCATGAATGAGCACCAAGTGACAGTGCCTTAGCTCTTGTACATAGAAAAGTAAAAACATGACCCAAGAGGAGAACCCCCCCCCCCCCGTTTAGATACAGTAAGCGCACAGTATGTGATTTTGTGAAACAATGAGGAGAAATAAAATGAAGAGCTACAGATTTCTGACAGTTAAAAATGTATTCAGTAGGATTCTTATCTGTTTATGTGTCATTTGCCGTTCATGGTCCTGTCATCTGACTTTCACTTTACATTCCAAAATTAAGTGTCTGCTTAGTGCTGAGTCTTATCTTGCTATATGAGCAACAGACCAAACTTTGAGATATCTTTTGAGATGTCAGCATTCAGCTGTAACTACGTTCCGATCAGATACAATAAGTCCACGAATAACCAGGGTCAACGTACTCATAATTTCCCCTGCAAATGAGTTGATCATATATATATATATATATCTATATATATATATATACCTTGTTACTGACAGAAAAATAATCAGTAGTTTATTTGTGCTAAAGAGGGCTTCTGAGGAGACACTTTTCATTGTGGAAAAAGGCATATGAAGTCTTTGGTCTCAGATGAAGACTCTTTTTTTTAACCCCCTTCCCCCTGTTTCTTCTGCCTTTACTGGTAGAAAGTTTCTGAGTGGATATGGACAAGTCAAGAGGAATCATTGTCTATTGTCTTGGGTATAAAAAAAAATCTGTAATTGCCTTAATTAAACCTTTGTATATCTTAATTTTTGAACCAGGTCAATTTAGTGGTTGCATAAAATTGGGCAACTAATATTATTCAGTACAAATACACAATACAGAGCAATAAAATGTATTTTACCATCTTGGCTGCGCATTTTTTCCTGGCATCCTCTCCTTGATTCATACTGACAAATGCTACTATCAAATAGCAAGTAGCCACTGTCACTGTATAGTGTTGTAAAACCCATTTCCTGGGGCCAAAGGGTAATAAATAAAAATGCAATTACAAATACAAAATGAAAAAATGAAAAAGAATGACCAGTCTAGATAGAGTGTAGTCACTTTCTTGGAAGCTACAGTTGAACTTGAAGACTTGATACAACAGAATGTGTTTGGAGGTTGAACAAGGAGAGTTGGATATCACTTTCCTTCTGTTGAAGCCAAGTACTTGCACAATAATCAGCTGTCTGTTTAAGTGGTCATTATTGCTGTTGTTAAGCATGGGGGGCCCACTATAGTAAAAACAGATTGATCTCTAGCTGTTATCACTATCATATGGAGGGCATTAGCTCTCCAGGTTCAGAGGCTTTTGCCAATGACTGAATGCAGGAAAACAGATATGTGTATGGGCAGCCCCAGAAAGAGTAAAGAGAGCTAACTCGAGTACCAAGAGCTCTACAGCTCCTCATGGATGCTGGTCAGTTCAAAGTTTACTTTAAAGCCAGGGCATCACATGAATAACACAGTTTGAGTTTTTTCAACCTGACTAATCCAAAGAGTCTTTGCAGAAACACAAGAAGCTTTGGCTGAACTGAAAGCCCAAGGCCCCAGACTTAGCATACTGAACTATTACTGCCTTTGAGACACAAATTGAAGGAAAACCTCAGATTGTGGAAGTAAATCCTCTTTGTTCATGGCCTCTACCGTCTTTTTTATTTTAGGGATGAAAAATTGTTCATTAAATACATGTAAAAAATTATGTTTATGAAGAGATAATTATTCTTTTCCACATTAACTGTGAATACAGTAGAATCAAAGATGTGATCCTAGCATTTCTCTGTACCACTCAGCACCAAGTTACTTTCAGACACTTTCCCTGATAACCACTCTCCAGTCTTTAAGCTGAGCTACTGTAGCATCTACTGAAGTATTATACTGGTTAGCTGAATATATAATACAAGTACTGCTTGAAAGTGCAGGTAGGAAGCTTGGCACAAGGTATATTTTGTGTTTTAAAAGAAATACAGTTGTACACATGTAAACAAAGACACTATTCCCAACCTAGTTGAACCTTCCAAAAGTGGAGAGGTCTTGAAAAACACACCTGTACACAAATAGAAGCAAATATATAGAAAATACATTTACATGTGTATAATATACAGCAAGTTTTCATCACCCTCTGACTAGTAAGATAACACTCTTCTTTCAAAAAAATATATATGTTTCAAAGAAGCAACTCTACAGCCCGACACACGTGAGGCTGAATTGGTACAGGTCATTCATGAGAGTGGTTTTCCTGTTTTGAAGGGGCAAAATCAGAAGTTTTGCACCACTGTGTATAACCCTTAGTTGGACACCTCCAGAATGGCTCACATGTATAGCTAATGATCTCATTGGGACAACCTGTTTTTTAAGATCCTTCTATGTTAGTGAGTCCAAAAGCATCTGTAAGCCAAATACCACTTGTGACACCCGATAAAACACACCTTCAATCTATACATATTGCTGTCTGCAGCCAGAAACATTTACAATTACAGAGTTGACTTGTGCTTTGTATAAACCCACAGCACAATAAAAGGTAGATTTATAGGCAGTTTTCTCAAAAGCTAAATAGCACAAAGGTAATCTGGCCTCCAGAGCTTGAGGTTGAGAGTAAAGTTATCAATGCTAGAATTCTCTTTGCTAAGCTTTAGTGTCCCTGACCATATTGAGAGATACCTCCATACAATTTGGCCCTACCTAATGTGTTTACATGATTGTTTCAGGGTTTTAAAAGAAAGAATTTCAAGCCTTTCTCCCAAGCCTGTACTGTATTTCCTCTCTGCCTTTGTCGGCACTGTTCAAATAACTGATTGTGCACAACTGCCAACTTCCTGGCTGTGAGAGCTGAAAGTCTGATATGCTAGTGATATTGTCCTCAAGTACTGAGAAGATCTGGCCCTTCACAGAGCTAGCTAACTCTCGATAGACATTTGATCATAGAATTCTTACCTGCTTGCATTTTGAACTAAAACACACTAAAATAATGAAGGAAACCCTATTGCAGTACCTCACTAACACGTATTTCTTCTTTTATATCTTCAGGACACACAACAAACCTTTACATGTTCTTTTTGTCATGAGGGACATATGGGTTTCAAAATGGTTTATCAAAAGTAAGCAAGGAAATGTCTTTTCCTCTTTATTTTTTAAATTGTTTTAAGTCAAATTATCACAGGCATCATTTGTAGTTTATACTGAATCATTTCCAACTCTTTAGTGCCCAAGCTTGGGTCAAAATCCACCATAACCATGTTCCCAAAACAGCTCGAGCTAGACAGACCTGAGGCAGTGTAAATGTCCTGTCCAGCTTCATGCAGTTTGCCCTTACTCAGTCTAAGCATGACGCGCTACGGTAACCTTTTGTTCATTATTCCATTTAGTGAATCAGGTGCGAATCCTTACTCCTACTACTACAAATAATAATAACAACAAGTAGCTTGAGTGAGTGCCCATGAATTGGCTTGGCACCATTCACTTTCAGGTGGTTTTCTTACAAGTAATTTGGACTTGGATGAGAGTTTAAATTAAAGCTGGGGTAGGCAGGTTAGGAGAAGCTGTTGGAAGTAGGATTAAACACCTACCCCAGAAAATACAAGGGTGGACCTTCTCAAACAAATTTGGGTCAAATGCCTAAATACTGTTAGGAATCAGGACTATGAGAGAGTGATGACTGTTGTCAGCCCTAATGCATGAGACACATTGCACACTTGTGGAGTGCCAGAACTTGTGGGGCCACAGCAGTAGCAAGTTAGTTTCAATACTGCTTCCAAGCTGTGGTCTCTGGGGCTCTCTCTCTTGACGTTGAGTTTACTTGTACTTATTGCCTGCCATTATCGAATGTTTCATGTTAGCTAAGTGTTCATTACCTCTGTATCGACATTAATCTAAAACGGATACATGCAGTTTTGAGTTTTTCTTCATGTCTGTGACATTTTAATTTGTCTCTTCACTGATATTTTAGTCTTTTTTGAACAGACTTATTTGAGGTATAATAAGCAAATCACTGAATCTCTTCAGGCACTATACTGCAGCAACAGTGAGCTGTGTCCAGCAGCCCATTTAGGCAATCTGCATAGCTGCTCTAGCCTGTCAACATGCATGCTCAAATTACAGGCAAGAGGTTCCATGGTGTAGGAACTGCTCAAGTGAGCAATGTAAACCAAAATTAATCATCCAACTTGTTTCATGCCTCCACTCCTCTGTGACTTAAGCTGTCAAGTTTCAGCTTTGAGACACTTTGAATAGAGGGCATGCACATGAATGGGAAATGTAAGTAAGGTTAGGATACTCATCTGCTGGCTTTTCAGTTGATTGATTATTGTTGGGATGTATTTCACAACAGCATCAGAAAGTGCTCCTCCAATAACTTGCCTACCCTAGCTTTAACAGTACTGGATCCTTAGTGCTTTGGACCCTAACTCTTAGTCTGTGTTAGACTTTTGTTTAAAAAAATAGACATAACTATTTTGTTTTTAAAATGGGACCCATAGAAAGTTTTTTAATCAATGATTCAATAAAGCATATACCGTTTCTTTTTTCCATCTTCCCCAACACAGAGAATAGTGCTTGATATAAATATCTTTTACACTCTATTACAACATATTTCTTGAAACTATTTCAAAAGATATTCCAATAAATTTGTCACATTTTTATCTTTCACATTTCTTAGAAAACAAACAAAAAAATATGTAGTTGAAGTTGATACAGGGTTCATATAGCACTCATTAAGTCCATAAGTTGTGGTTGTATCTTCCTGCTATCCATGTTGTGGCACATAGTGGCATTATTGGCACATTGTTCAGAAATACAGTTCATCTTCCACCCACAGCATCTCCGTGGATTCTTTTTTTTCGAATGTCAAGTGTTTTTCTTGAGACGTACTTGAAGTCCACAGTTTTGTCTCCCACGTCTGGTAAATATACCAACATATAATCTTTAACTAAATGACTGTACGTTCCTGGAAATATGGAATGGCAGCAATGTGGCTGCTCTGCTTGTCATCTCTAAAAAAATAAATATCTCAACCAGAGTGTCCAAAGAGTGATCAAACTATTTTACAAAAGACGTTGTTTTCTGTTGTTCTTGTTTCCAACAGGATCCTGTGGAGATGTGGAGAAAAAAAGCTAAATTACTAGTTTCTGAAACCTGGCCGCTTTTACTTATGTTTAGGAAATTACTATCTGGCTCCTTGCCTGGGAAAATATTCAGCCCAGGGCTTCTGTGTTTAGTCCTGCTGTTATACGCAGGTCATGTTGGGAGCATGCAGCATAGAGATTACTGAGACTAATGTCTGTCCAGATAACTATCCTCTCACTGCACTTCCTACAGGAAATGTGTTCCTCCTCAGATCTGGGTCAACAGCTTCCCTATAGGTGTCCAGCGACAACATTAGGGCCAGACCTTTTGTTCAAGTTTCACACTTTTCAGATGCAGTGTGTTCAGGAATATGAATAAAGTCTTGCGTGCCACTGCTAAAAAAGATTCTAAACAATATGTCCGGTTTTCTGCTATTTCCTAAATAGGGCAGGTGGCTAAGGCTCACATGGAGATTTGTAAGACAACAAACTAGCGAACAAACAGTACCCACCAGAAGGTGAAAAGAGGAAGTCTCCTCCACTCACAAGAAGTGATCAAGTCCTTCAGCTTGTCAACATGATATCTCAAACCATTTCTCCGACACAAAGGCCACAGGAATCAGCTGTCTTTCAGAGGGGGAGGGCCTGTAAAGATATAGGAAATTAAAGTAGGCTCTTCTGTTGTTGTTTTTGTTTGTTTGTTTTTATTTGTGATGGTAGAGAATAATTTATTATCAAAGTAAGTAATCTCCCAACAAACATGGAAGGAGACCATGGAAGGCTGTTTTATACATAGAGAAAACAGTACCTCAAGGATATACGAGGGTTTTTTTAGGACTTTGAATTCCACACGTGTGGAATTCTTCCACACGTTTTATTTCTTAAAAATGACCTCTTTATTTCTACGACACTGAAATATGGTATCTATACCATCAATGGTTACTTTTCCTGTATTGTGAAGTAAAAACTTGAACAACCTAATCAATATAAAAGAATATCAGTAAAATGAATAATGGGAAGAATTCCAGGATAATCTCCATATACTGTATGTTTGCCCTTTTCAAAATTGTTATGTTTTATATTTATCTATTTTTAACATGGTCAGGTTGGCACATTTATCCTTATTAAACCATCATAATAAAGATGTAGACAGTGGGATCTCTTAATCCAATTTAAATTGATCTGTCTGTGTCATTCCATTTTGGATTTCATGAGATTTAAGCCATTAGACTGTTAGCATGTCAGTAATACTAACTGTAGTTGAAACGCTGTAGAAAAGGATCTTTGAATTATCAGTGCTGGCTGACTGAGCCCTTTAATAAAGAGCGATTAGTCCTTGAGCTAGCTTACCTGTTTCCATTGTAAGCAGTTTTGTACACAGGCGTCTGCTGAATCATCTCATCAGTGTAAATCGGTACAGCAGTCCGAACGCACTCATGTGAGCACTGTAGGCTTTCATTGTAGGCAGTGAATATGTCCACCTTGCTGGGAACCCGAGCAGGGGTGAAGTCGGTCAGGTTTTGGCAACTTTCTTCCTGCTGGTGGATCTTGCGCTGATGGCTATTGTGGCGGCCATTTCCTGACTGTGCACAGCTACAAAAACACGCACCAAAGAGAAGAAACAAACATAAAATCATACCTTGTACCTTTAGTCTTTAAATATTGATGTCAAAATGAGTAAAGGAATCTTTCCTACCAGTTTTTAAGGACCAGTGTTGTGATCAAGGCTGCAATAACCATAATGAGAGACACAGTGATTGTGATTATCTGGTGAACTGCCAAACCTGCAGAAGGACGAAAATAAAAAGACATGTAATTATAGTCACTTGTAAAGTAATTGCTTCCACTTCTGTTGTTCACATCAGAGAGCCACACATTCTTCTTGCCCATTGTCTTCCGCAAAGTACCAATCCATTGCTCTCCACAAAGCATCGAGGGCAGCTCACATGACTACCCTGAACAATTTTGCTCTTCAGTAAATATTGATGACATGCTCAGTCATTGCTGTTCATAGTTGAAGCATTATATGAACCAGAAAATTCCCTCAGGCAACTTCTGAAAGGGCCACGGGGGAAACTGCCAGGGTGTGTACATTATGATGAGATTCTTCTGAGATTTCAAATCATTAATACTTGTAGCATTGTGATATTGTAAACAAGGAACACACCTACAACAAACATTCCTTTTTCAAGTATTTATTCAAACAACAACAAAAAAATGAGCCGGAGCAGCAGTAGTTTGAACAATGCTCTTTTAAAAAAATGCAAATTCACTGGTTTGCTATTTTTGTTGTTAATCACAGATGATGTACCATGTACCTATTGAGTAGGGCAGCTATGGCTACATGGTATAACGGGTCATTTCTTATTAAAAAGGTTAGCCATTCAATCTCCACATTGTCTACATGTCAAAGTTTCCTAGGACAGGGCATTAAGTTGCACCCAGAGGCATAGGCATAGAAAAGTGAGTGTGTTTAAGTGATCAGTGCTGATGGGTGGTTGGAAACTTGGAGCAGCAACTCTGTTCTAGGTAAGGCAACTATATCAATGTGTGCTGATGATTCAACCATATATGTATCAGATAATAATATTGATCAATTAAATGTTAATTTAGAGAGAGAGCTCTAGTCAGTGGTAGACTGGATCAGCAACATTGAACTTGTAGTAAATGTACCCAAACCAACTAGCTGAGTGTTGGAAATACTTAAAGTTTATGTTCTAAATTAAAGCTTGAGCTCAGGATCAATCAGACATTATTTAATCAGGTTGATCATACCAAACTTCAAGATGTTAATATAGACCAGAGACTGTCCCAGGACAAGCAGGTGCAAAAACTAGTGGTTAAGATGGTAAATACTTTCTCTGTTATTAAAAAGTTGTGCCAAGTACTTTTCACCAAAAAACAGTTCAACAAGTAATTCAGGCTTTGTTTTTTTGTTTTTGTTTTTGTTTTGTTTTTTCTCATCTGGATTAGTGCTCTGTCGTCTGGTCAAGCATTTCCATCAGTAACATTAAGAAACTGCAACTGGTCCATAATAAGGCTGCACATGTGGCTCTGTCATGCAGGTACAGGTCTAATGTTAGTAAAATGCATGACAGTCCCTCGTGGTTTGAATCATATGATTATTTTATGAAAAGATGATCTTCGTATAGAATGTCATAACAACTAAAACCCCTTTAAATTTATATGAGAAGCTCTCCTTTAGTACAGATGTACATTATTACTCTATCAGGCATGTTGTTAGAGGTTGTTTTGTTCTGCCTAGAGTAAAGACCTCATCAGCTCAGCGCTCAGTAACATACCGAGCAATGAAGGAATGTAACTTGCTCCTAAATGAAATCAAACGTCAGAACACTTTTTATAGTTTTTAAAAAAATCTCTTCAAAGATATTATCTTCCAAGAGATTTTTATAGCCGATACTGATTATGCTCATTAGAGATACCTTGTTGATTATATTGGCTTGCTTTTTTTTATTCCTTAGAATCATTGGGAGCAACTGTAATGTCTGTTGTCTTTGACTTTGTTTGAGTGAGTTGTAATTGTTGAAACGTCTGTTCTGTTGGTGTTGTGTGATGTAGTGTCTTTTGTTTGTGTCCTGTGATTTTTGATTGTATAAATTGTATTGTCACAATGTAAACTGTGGAACCCAGAAGGAATAGCTTACAGCTGATGCTTAAGCTAATGGGAATCCAAATAAACAAACAAAAAACCTCTGCTATCATCAGGGTCAATGTTGTGTCAAAGCACTCAAAACACCTTTGGCAGTAAGAAAAGTAGAGAAGCAATTATGTCACCAATTCCAATACTCACTGGTGTGCCATTTTTTTAGGCCACGGAGCAAATGCATGGAGACACTATTGTTATACTGTGGATTTTTTCTTATTCCCCTTCTGGACAATTTCGATTCACCACTAGTCCTAGAGCTTAAAGAGTTGTAGAGGAAATTATGTATCAAAACATGCGGTTTAAGATAAGAAGATAAGATAAGAAGAACTTTATTGATCCCCGAAGGGAAATTCAATTGTCTGTTGTCTCACATAATATGTCTATAAAAGTTATCTATTATTTACATAAGAGTTATAAAGCCTGATGGCTGTTGGTACAAAAGATATTCTGAATCGTTCTGTCCTGCAGCAAAGAGAGAGGAGCCTCCACTACCATTGGCCCTTGGTCCATCAAGGTGTTGTGAAGTGGGTGATCCATGTTCTCTAGAATAGTCTCCACCTTCCTCAGTGTAGATCTCTCCACCACGTCCTCCACTGAGTCCAGCTTGAGTCCAACCACAGAGTCCAACCACAGAGTTCACCAGTTTATTCAGATGTCTTACATCTTTGTGTTTGATGCTTCCTCCCCAGCAGACTGCAGCGTAGAACAGAACACTTGCCACCACAGACTGATGAAACATCTGCAGCATCTTACTACAGATGTCTATTGTTTGGAGTCTTCTCAGGCAAAAGAGGTGGCTCTGCCCCTTTCTGTAGGTGAAGTCTAGATTCTTAGACCAGTCCAACTTATTATCCAGATGTACACCTAGGTATTTATATGATGTCACCACTTCGATGTCCACTCCACAGGTGTTCACTGGCTGAAGAGGGGGTTTGGATCTACGGAAGTCTATGACCATCTCCTTTGTCTTTGAGGTGTTGAGGAGGAGGCAGTTTTTGTGACTCCAGTCACTGAAGGCTCTTATTAGATCTCTGTATTCAGCTTCTTGTCCATTTCTGATACATGCCACAATAGCTGTGTCATCTGAGTATTTCTGGATGTGGCAGGACTCTGTGCTGTATTTGAAGTCTGACGTGAACAGTGTGAACAGGAATGGCGCCAGCACTGTCCCTTGTGGAGCCCCTGTACTGCTCATTAATGTCCCAGAAACACAGTTCCCCAGCCTGACAAACTGTGGTCTTCCTGTCAGGTAATCTGTGATCAAGGAAACACAGGAAGGATCAACTCCCATCTCTGTGAGCTTGTCTTTGAGTATGAGAGGAGAGGAGAGGAGAGGGTGACATGGTTGAAGTCTCCCGATATTATTATTAGTGCCTCAGGGTGTGGAGTCTGTAGCCTGGCAAAACTATTTTGCAAAACATTGTAACATTCTTCAGTTGATTTGGGTGGAATGTAAACAACTATTGTTATGGTATGACTAAATTCTCTTGGAACATAATATAGCCGAAGAGCAACTGCCAACAGTTCAATATCTGGACAACATAACTTCTCCTTGACAGCTATGTGTGAAGGGTTACACCATCTCTGGTTGACAAATAAAACCAAACCTCCTCCTTTCTTCTTGCTACTAGCTTGAGCATCTCTGTCTGACCTTATGAGAGTGAAGCCAGGTAGATCCACACTGGAGTCCGAATTGTTTTGATTTAACCAGGTTTGAGTAAAACAGGAAACTGCACTCACTGTATGCTTTCTCAAGGTCCTTACACGCCAGGCGCGAATTCGCCAGGCGAATTATTCGCCTTTTTTTAAAACAGCATAAAGTCAATGCAAGCTTCCACACCGGCAGCGATTTGCCCGCTGGGCGAAAAGCGACTTTTATTTTTTCGCTCGTGTCGAATTTTTTGGATATTCGCAGGCGAATATCTGGACCTGCTAGACCTCTGGCCAATCAAAAGTCATGTTGTTGATGACGTCACAGACCCATACGGCTGGAGGAGAGGGAGACGTTTGAGATTATGAAAACGCAGAGAAAGACAGCTGAGGTGCATCCAAAACTCTTTCTAATTACTAATGAAGTAGTTTTCTCACAAGATGACACTCTCTTGTCTACCTTAGGAGACAGGTGTCATGCACACTTCACAGGGTGACCGCCTCCTCATGCCTGATTCTCCCTCTTAGCTGTTTGACATACCGATGATCTGCAGCCACAGGGCCAACAGAATGACCAGACAACTTGAAGGATCACTGCTCAGCCCTCGCCTCTCCTGGCTGCTGCGGCGTCTCTCACAGCTTTTCCTCCTCTTTCTCCCTCGCTCATAATGCTAGACATGTCAATCAGCAGCCATTCACACGACACACACCACCACTGGCACCAAGAGCAACGATGGGAGAGAGGCTGGTAGTTGCGGTACAGGACCACCCCGCATCTCCTCTCCTCCGTGCCGCAAAGCGACTTTATTAATTCGCTTTGCGAAATTTATACGCATATTCGCTTCGCGCCCGGTGTGTGTATAGGCGAAAGCGATTTTTCGGACCGGCGAATATTCGCATTTTCGTCTCGCTTTTCTCGCTTCGCAAATTCGCCGGTGTGTAAGGACCTTCAGTCTTCACCAATATCTCCAGCTCATCACTTTTGTTGGGCAGAGAGTTGACGTTTCCCATGATGATTAATGGAAGAAAGGGTTTATATTGCCACCTCCTAGCATTCAGCTTTGGCTTCACCTTTGCACCAGCACGGCAACCACGATAACACCTCCTGAAGTCCTCTGGAATTGTATGTTGTTGTCCAGATTTTCTTTTCCTCAATGAAAGGAGCTCTTCTCTTGAGTAAACTCTTCGCCCAGCAGAAGTATCCATCAGCAGCCAACAAAATTACAACAAAAATATGAAAAAAATCTAGCAAAAATTACAGATAATACAGAGAAACCAGACTTGCAGCAACCTCTCGGTCGAAGTGCAACATTTGAATTTATAATGAATGATGGTAATAATAATGATAATATGACAATATAATGAATAATGATTTGGATAGGTTTGCTATTACTTTTCTCTATTGTATATAATGTTTTGCGACATAAGTCATGAAAAACTGCAGAGCAATTTTGCATTATCTATTTATTATGATGCAGCTCTGATCCTCTCAACACGGACTGGTGCACTGTAAATTGGAGCCAGATGACATCCAGAGATGATTTTTTTAGACAGGTCTTATTATTACAAAGACACTGGAACTTTGTGGTCTAACATAAATGTCAAAGACATCAAATTTAGTGGATATGTACCATACTATTATATGTCCTTGCTGTAGCAGTGCACTTTTTGGACACTGCACATCAATATTTGCTGCGTTTCACTTTGTGTAAAATCCAAAACATCACAGCAACAAGTGTCTGAAATACTTATCAACACACTGAATCAGAACCTCTCTTCTGCTTTTCCTTTTATTCCTCCGTACACAGATTCTGCAGCAACATTATGGGCTCTATTTTCGTGCGCGCCGGTGAGGCGGCAGAGGGTGGCGGACCCCGTGCAGTTGTATTTTCGTCTGGCGGAGCCCGGCGTAAAGCCAGTTTGGTATTTTCGTTGACTGAGGCGCTCGGAGGCGAACCAAGATCCGCCACGCTGGGCGTGGTGGCGTGGCAGGGGGAGGTGTCGACAGAATCAGCGGGCGCAGTGATATTTTCGTGCTTGCCAGTGGCGTGTAAAGTGCGCTGAAAGCTCGCCAATTCAAACCTGGTCAGCTTTCAGCGCAGGCGGAACACAGCTGGTCTAGTAGTATTTTGGTAGACCGGCGGCGTATCGGCATATGTCACTGATGCCTCACCGGCAGGTTTCCACAGTGTCAGGCACATTTCAGTGCAATAAATAATCATCAACAACTAATAATCTGAGTCAGCACATACATTTAGATCTATATAGATATATTCTGATTTATATCTGATCTGATGAGCGCGTTTGGCACGCGTTTGGACACACAACCTGACCGAATCAACACAGCTGAAACCGCATCAAATTAAATTAAATATCTAGTAAATAAACACACATGATGAAGTTAACAAGATATGTAATTCGTCTCCCTCCTTTTCTTCCTTCCTCTTATTTCTCGCACAGCTCGACCTGGACACGTCTCCGTGTCCTCTCTCCGTCCTGCAGCAGCAGCTGAACAGATGATTTGTTTCAGTGCTCAGATGAGTTATCTACTTTAAGCCGACATACGGATATTATAATATTCAGTTTTGTGAGGCAAATTTATTTTATATGCCAACATCTATGAAAGAAAGAGCCAGGCCACGGAGCGCGATGCGTCATTTACGCACAGATGGTTCAGATTTTAATGCCATTTTTGGAGTTTATGTTGTGATCTGTGCGCTCAACCCACCTTTGTCACGTGAGGTTTGAATATATGCAACTTTATGTGAGTGTCTTTATTTGTGGAAAAGGGTGTTTGTCTTACCAGTGGGTCCAACATTACACACACCAAATCCATCTGTGCTCATATGAGAGAGTGTGGAGGACACCCAATGCAGCGCTTACAGCGACACTTGTTGAGGAGCTGCCCTCTGTCGCCATCTTGTGGCATTACTGTCTTCAGACATTTGACTACTTCATGAAAATAGTAATACGCCTCGCCTGTGGCGGATTTAAAGGCAAGGAGAGGAGCTTATGTGATTGGTGAAAACAGGTCTCGGCTGTGTTAAACCCACTCCATGCCCATTCTCCTCCCTCGCTACGACTTACGCCGCTGGGAGGAGCTGAGTTAGGGAGGGGGGATACTTACGCCGGGCTGCGTTGCTCACAAAAAAAAACAAATTGTGCTTGGGAACACCTTGTCGGCGCGGCGGACCTGACTTACGCCACGCCTGCGGCACATCTCCGATGAGGCACGAAAATAGAGCCCTATGTCTTTCTTCAGTTTGGCACACAAATGGATGATTTGCATACATGCAGAGGACTGGCTGGCTCTGCTTGGCCAAAATAATCCATGAATACATTTTCTGAATTTTAAATACTGGACATGGGGACCTTCAAATCATTTTGGTGATCATTAGTAACAATAGATTATATAAGTTTTGCTCAAAGACCCTTCCACTGTGAGAGCCTGATCTGGATATCAGCTGACAGCTCACTCTACCTCCTGAAGAGGTGCATGTGTCAGAATGAGCGCATTACAGTTCCTTTTTTTTTTACGGGCACACACGTGTGTGTCTGTGTGTGTGTCTGTGTGTGTGTGCCTGTGTGTGTTTGCAGACAACATGAAAGATCATCACTGTCCTCCCATTTAACTGTCCTATGAGCCTGCACCCCTTTTCATAATTTTGTTGTTGTTGATTTTTTGTAGTAAATACAAAAATGTAAATACTTGAAAAAAGGACTGTTTGTTGTAGGTGTATTTTCTACACCTTTTAAGTGCAGCCTCAATACAATAATACGGTGAGCACATTTTATAATATTTTCTCAGCTGAAAGCACCAACATATTTCGCCTAAGGCTTAGAATGTGATTCTAACTGACTAAGAATGAATGACTTGATATGGTAGATCAAAAACTCTTAGATCAAATGTAATCCTGGTAGGTAGTCTGGAAGCTTTGAAAATAAAGTCTGTTAATGAAGGCAGGCTAGAGAATTGAGGGCACTCTTGAGCACTAGCTTCTGCTGGTTAATGTGATTCTTGAGAACAGGTAAAGAGGATTTTTTAAGGCCTTTATTCTTGGTAGAGAAAGACAAATGATAAATATAACAGCAAATAAATAATCAGAGACTATCTATGTGTGATAAGACAGAGCAACATGAAATACAATATTTTTATCACACTGTGGATATGAGAAGAAAATTGTACTATTCTCAGTATATCATTCACAAAATCTATTCAATTTTACACACTGTTACACAACTTTGAGTTGTTCACTTGCAGTTCACAAATTGTCACTTCAGTCACGCAAAATAAAATTCAACATTCATTTTGAAGAGAATTCTGAACTCTGTTTTGACAGATCTTTACAGAAAAAGTGTAGGCTACTCAAGCTGCTTTTAACCACACTGACAAACCTGTTTGGAGCAGCTGAAGAAGTGATCTGTCCCCTTTTTAACACTTGATATAATGGCACTGTGAATGTGTTTTTTCAGGGCATTACACTGTAAATGGAAGTCTGTGGTCAGAAATAGTACTATACTGAATGTGAGTCTGTTATTCTCTCTCTTCAAGGCTCTGATTTAGTCTTCACCTCCTAAGTAATACACTTTAAATAGCCTTGTTGGTGAAATGTGCTGTAAAAACAAACTTGCCCAGCCCTCAATAAGCTTACATAACTCCTACATTAGTGTGGTGTTTACCAGTTGCCATCTAATTTGTTTGCCTGCTCTGTGATGCATCTCAAGTAATATAAGGGGAACTACAAGGTTCCCCTTAAAGGGGACCTGCAATCAAAAATGTAATTTTGTGTGTTTTTGTGTCAGATAAGGTCCATATTATGTTTGTCTTATGTTGTAAATGTGAAAACAAACCGCTACGTCGTTTGCATTCTGTAAAGTTTTAAAAGAAAGAAACGGGTAAACCAGGCCAATTGAAAAAGCAGGTCCCTCTGATGTCACACTGACCTTGCTCATTATTATTCACGAGCGCGTCCTCGGTGAGCCACGCCCACTGTCTCTCTCTCGTACTCATTCACAGTCAACATCACTCTCCAGCCAGAGCGAGACCCAGCTACCGCTATGGGTCTCTTCCAAACGGCCGGTGTTTCCTTGGGTTCACTGCCGGGAAAATGAACTTTAAGCTGGGCAGAGTGAATGAAAACACCGCTGATCTCCGGCTTCTTCTTCAACTTCCACCTCCTCTTCGGACTCGGGGTCTAAAATATATGGTTTAATACCTGCCATTTTTAGCCTTTAGCATAAAGTGACCAGACGTCCCCGATTTCCGGGGAAAGTCCCCGAATATCCCCCGGGTATCATTACAGACATCTGGGCACCTTACTTTAATACACGTTAGCAAAATGGATAAACCGAAATCCGAACCTCCACTGCTGAGCCAATCAGAGCACAGCAGGCTTCACAGCAGCAATCCAATCAGAGCAAATCTCATTACTATAAATGTTAATGAGCCAAAATCAGTTATTTTTCCTGTAAGGTTTTTTAGGTATACTTTTCAGCTAAAATTATGTTGCAAACATGATCAGAGGACATCAAGGATTATGAAAAAATGATAAAAATGGGTATGGAATTTTGATGGCAGGTCCCCTTTAAAGAACTATAAGGGGAACACTCATCAGGCTGGAAAAAAACAAGTTGTTTTGTTGAGTTCGGGACCAAAAATAAAAGCAGCCTCCAAGGGGTCATGTGCTGCAATGATCTTTTGTGTGAGTCGGCATCATCATGAATAATTGTTAGATAGACACAGTTTAAAGTTGATCATACTGTATAGGCTATACAGGCTGGAAAAGACACTATTTAAGAAAACAGTATGGGGCAAATTCTTCTATATTTTGAGACCTAAAGAAATAAATTCAGTATGAAATCAAGGTTGGATTAAACTTGCGTTGTTTGTTGCCTAACAGCTAAGAAGGCAGACAACCTCTGTATAATCACAAGTTTAACCAGGGCAAAACAAGCTATGTCACCATAACTTCACGACTCAACAAGACTCCCATGCATCCGGTTAAAAGCATCATTTGACCAAGCAAAGCCAGATAAAGTTTCCAATTTTCTAAAATTTGAAACTACATGTACTCCGTCATAACCAGCTTGCAGATATGAAAATGCATCAAAGCCCCCCTGCCTGTTTCCTTTATTCTGAATGAGTTGATTACAAAAGTATTTTTCTTGTCATACTGCCAAGAGTTGTGTGCTAATCTCTCACTTTTGCCAGAGGATAGTGATCTGAAAACAAGACTGTGCAGCCCATGTCTAAAATGAGGATCAGGGAGCCTACTCAACTCTGTTGTGTATTTTTGCGTGTTGTTTGTGTGAGTGATGGAGCCCTTGAGTGGCTCAGGCACAATGACACACTGTGGCTGTGACCTGCTGCAAGAGGAAGAAAAAAAGTAAAGAGAAAAGCTGTCATAATGAAATTGCCTACATAGACCTTATACACCTCACTTCTCTATCAGCCAGCTGCCTCGCTGCTGGTCCAAGGTAATTTGTCTTTGCGATGTTCAAAAGGAAGTGCTGCCCCGTCATTTTGTAAAAAGCACACGGCCTCTCCTCTGCCCGCCTGCCTGCCTGCTTGCCCGCTTGCCTGCTAGCCTGCCTGGACAACCTCCTCTTGGATAATAACCTTCTGTTGGCAGGCCCATGCAAAAGGCAGACCAGGTCAACCTTGGATTAACGATATCTCTCGCTGTCGCAGGACAGCTTTACCTTCGCAGTCCAATCAGAGTCCCTTCTACAGCAACAGTAGATTAACTTATCTGACAAGTACTTTGCATTTCTCTCATATCCTCTTCCCTCCCTCTCCCTTTTTCAGCTAGTCTCTGTCTGATGTCAAGGTTATTACATGAATGTAGTTTGTCACAAATTAACATGGGTCAGACTTCCGACAGAACTTTGATCATAATCACAAGCTAAGGTCTGTAAGATGGTTTTATTTTATTGATGTCCAAAAGTCAGGGGATTTCGGATCAAATGATGAGTTTAAGTGTAATCATTTAGAAAAACAAACAAACAAACAAACAAGATATGAAAATGATCTATGCCAGGGGTAACCTCATACCGTACATCCCATTAATTCGACCTGCCAGAACTGATGCATGCAACAAAAATGTAAGTTTCTGTCAGCATTGTCAAATGGGACCAGCAAAACTTTAGATTTGTGATCATGGCCAACCATTTAATAGTGAAGAAAAGAGGGGGGAAACAGCCCAAACACACACAGGTAGGCTGCAGAAAGGTACATTAAAAAACAAAAGCAGCTGAATGAGAGTTATATCCACCCAACTGGAGTACACTGCTAAGGCTTTGACACGGCTTAATACTGATGGGTTTTTTGTTTGTTTGTTTGTTTGTTTGTTTTGTTTGCAAATATTTAGTCATTTTCAAATTAATTCCTTTGTTCCAAAAAATGGTTCAGGGGCAACAAAAGTCTGGGAAAATTGAGGAATGCTCAAAAACATCTGTTTGAATCATCCCACAGGTGAACAGGTTAACTAGAAATAGGTGAGGGTCAGGGTTGGGCATATAAGGACCATCTCTGAAAGGCTCAGTTGTTTACAAGCAAGAATGGGGCCAGGGGCCTATTCTACGAAGCAAGTTCAACCTAGCAAGGTAGCCTTGGAGCTACCATGCTCAACTTAGCACGGTAGCCAGCGGTCTCGCTAAACGGTCTTACGACGCTGGTTATCAACCTCGTAAGTGGATCCAGCTTTGCTATGAGTGCTTGCACGCATGTAAGGCGGAGCCCACTGCATCTCACCAATCGCGAACATTGACCAGTCTGGAGCGTCAGAGCAGGCCGGAGAGCGAAGGACCGCGTACTTTACAAACGTGGAGCAGGAGACGATCATGAGAAAGTATGAAGAATTCAAATCTATCATAAACCTCAAAAGCAACACCGTCGCTGCTGCAAAAGCACAGAAGGAATACTGGCAGAAAATTAATCTTTGATGCCATTATCACCCTGAAATAGCACTGTTCAACATGCACTTTTAACATGCACCAGACATGTCTAATTCATTTCCAAGATGAATTAATTTATTTGTTCATTCCTATCGTGTTTACATTTTTGTGTGATATGTAGGCCATATGAGCCTTTCATAAAGGTGGTCATTCGGAAAAGTAAGTGGGTCCATGCGGTCCCTGAAAACTCTGTGCTCCTCGGACAATGCGAGCACCGAGGTCTATAGGATCCTACAAGAACAAACAAGCCATTTTTCGAGAGAGCTCATTGGTCAATGGGCGAGGTTTTTATACTCGGTGAGTTCAATCTGGAACCTAACCTGCCCCGGAGCAGGTTAGCCGTTCAGTGAACGTTGCCATGGAGACTTACCTCATTAAGAAGTGAACCCGCGTCGTAGAACAAGAAACCCTGAACTTACCCTCGAAGTTACCTCGCTAAGCAGTAATCCTGCTTCGTAGAATAGGCCCCTGGTCTACTACTTTGTCAACAACTGCGTGAGCAAATAGCCCAACAGTTTAAAAACAATGTTTCTCCGCCTACAACTGCAGGAATTTGGATATTCAATCATCTACAGTCCAAGATGACAGTCCAAGAAGATGAAAGATTTAGAGGATTCAGAGGAATCTCTGCAGGCCCAAAATCAACATTGAATGACTGTGACCTTTGACCCCTCAGACGGCACACCATTAAAAACACATTGTCAGTTAACACAGTTTGTCTCTACATCTACAAGTTCAAACTCTACCATGCAAAGACAAAGACATATATCAACAACAGTCAGAAACACCGCCAGCTTCTCTGGTCCTGAGCTCATCTGAGATGGACTGACCCAAAGTAGAAAAATCTACATTCCACATGGGTTACAATGGTGTCGCTTTGTGGTATGAACGTGTGGTTACTGGCCTGCCTGCAGTCCCCATCTGTCCCCAACTGAGCATGTGTGGAGCAATATAGAGCCCCAAATACCCAAACAGAGACCCAGGACTGTTGAGTCTCTGTTGTTCATGAGTCAAGACTGCAAGAGAATTACCACTTACTTACCATGGTGACTCACAGTGACATCCCAGAATGGTTTGATTGGTGATTAAGTGTTGATGGCAATAGTGGGCTGGAGGTTCAATAAAAATGTGGCAAACAAATTGCTCTTTCAAAATAAATAAATAAAAATAAAATAAAGTGACATTGCATGACTGTTTTCTCCAAACACACGTTTAACACACATTGTAAAACTACAAAAAGCATGATAAAAGTGGTGCATGAGCATGTATTATTTGTGGAGCTAAGGAAATATAATACTGATCTTTTCGGTCTTTTATGTGTTATGTTCTGCAAGGTCTGCAAGCTTTGTATATTTATTTTTCATTTGTTTTTTAATATTTGAATTATCATTCTGAACGAAAGGAATGAACGAAACTTTTGCCTGTTAAAAGCTCCTCTGTACAAGACTGATGGACGTGTCTGTTTCTTTCTGCAACTCTAACTCTGGTTTCTAAAAATCCTATTGTCAGGAACAGCTCTCTATGAACAAAGTGGACAAAGGAAAATCAAGAGTTCCTTCAAGATGACATTTGAAACCGAATATAGTCTGATGAACTCCGAACATTTACAGAGCCAAGAGCGACCACTGTGACAGACAGGAACTTTTATTTCTGTTTAACCAGGTAATATATGAACATGGGTACACACCTCTGCCCACTGTTAAGTATTTTAAAGGTCCCATGGCATGCCAATTTCACACAACTTAAAATAGTCCCCCGGTGTGTTAAAAGCGTGTCTGTGACGTCCTTCGGTCAAAATTCAATTTGGATCAATTATTTTTGTGCTCTTTTTATCAGCTAAAATCAGCTCCGCTCAAAATCCTCTGTTTTGGGCCATGTCTCTTTAATGAAATGAGCTGCACCTAAGCCACGTCCACTTTACACCCATCTCTCTGGAAGGGGCTGTGGCTGTGCTCCGATAGCCATGTGCTAATGTTTATACTGGCTCGGTCATGGCTGCAAGAAGATCGCTTGTACAACCCTACCAGTTTGAGCCAGAGTCTGACCCAGAGGGAGAGGCTCCGGAAGAAACTTTTAGCCGCGTTCAGACCAAACGCGACTTGAAGCAACCTAGTCGACACATCCTATATATTATTCAAAGCCGCCAGGAGGGTCACGCTTAAAGAGGAAGATATGAATGTAGAAAAAATTACAACCAGAGCTCTGCTACAATGTAAGATATCGGTGCTCTAAAACTTCTCTGAAGCCTTTGCTAATTAATAGGATGGCCGACCGTCCAGCATTAGCCGGGACTTCCTGTATTGGAGCCAAAAGAGGCGCGTCGCCGCACGGGTAAATGCTAAAGCTACATGCTGCTCCGGAGGGGGATTTTGTCACCCGCCGGCGGAGTTGTCAGGGAAGAAGCGAGCGGCTAAAATACGGGAGGATCCGGTAAACCGGCATGGATCCGGTGTGTTTATCAAAGCGTGGTGGCCGTGCTGAGGCACCGGGGGGAATTTAGGCTAAACAGTAAGTCAAAATAAAACGTTTACACTTACAGATGCCACGTTTGTAGTAGGATCATGGATAGTTGGTATGGATCCATTCTTTATCTTCAGACATCTAACAAATCCAGCGTTGAACTGTCCCTTGTTGATAAAACAGTCCGAAGTGAAATGGTGCGCACATACATACAGATATTTTGGAAGTGCATGGTACATTCCCATTATAAATAAAATCCACCCATTGAGTCCCCAAATCCTCCGACGAGGGAGTTTTCAAAAGAGTTTTGTGCTCGTTTGTGCAGCCAACAACAGAGCAAACGCTGCCTCTTTTTTAGATTGTACTTTCGTCATGGTTTTAACCGGAGCTATGCGAGCGAGCGGCCAGGAATAATGGTGCTGTTTTGATAAATTAGTGGGCAGGGCAGTGGGTGGCTCCATGGGCAGTACCTTCAACCCGCCAGCACTGACATGATGTCATGTCAGTGGAGTTTTCAGAACGGCCGGCTCTGAGCACACAGTTCCTAAATACGGAGATAACTAAAAACGACTGGATGGAATTTTTTCGAACTTGGGGGGATTGTAGCGGTTTTCTATCCCTGATATGCACCCCCGTCCCATTAACAAAGTCAGTTTTTCATGCCATGGCACCTTTCATTTATTTGCTGGTCATTCCGTGAAACATATTGTATATTTACCTAATTTAAATAACCCACCTGTAATGTCATGATAAATATATATATATAATATATATATGAATATATATATATATTTGGCTGAATCCCCTCAGCCAGCAAGATCCCCTCAAATCAGCAAGACCGGCTACGGATACCAACTCCGAAATTGGATCACCATCTGCCACCTCCTCTACATGGATGACATCAAGCTGTACACTAAAAGCAAGTGAGTAACATTGGAATGTCGTTCAGACTGGAGAAGTATGGCCTAATGGTGATGAAAAAAGGGAGAGTAGTCCATATGGAGGGCACTACACTCCCAGAAAGCAGAATAGCGGATGTGGCTGAGAGCTACAAACACCTTGGCATACCACAGGTAAATGGCAACCATTAAGAGGCCATAAGGAAAGCAGCAATGGCCAAATACCTGAAGCGAGTAAGGCAGGTCCTATAGAGTCAGCTCAATGGCAGAAACAAGGAGGAAATTTAGGCCACAGTTGTTAAAACTCTGAAGTTGCTCACCATGCACGGGGGATTCCACCCCAAGTCCAGTATCCAGAGGCTATACACTAAGCGCAAAGAAGGAGGCAGAGAGTTAGTGAGCATCAGAGCTGCTATCCAAGAGGAAACATCCAAGCTCCATGACTACATCAGGAAGATGGTCCCAAGAGATGGAGCACTTAGTGAGTGTCTCAGACAATGGAAACTGACAGGTAAGGAGGGACTGGAGGAATCATCATGGGAGGAAAAACCCCTGCTTGGGATGTACCACTGACAGATAGCTGAAGTGGCTGTTATGAGCAAATCCTACCAGTGGCCGGAGAGGGCAGGACTGAAGGACAGCACAGAGGCACTAATCATGGTGGCACAAGAACAAGCCATGAGTACCAAAGCAATAGAGGCCCAGATCTACCATACCAGGCATGTGCAAAGAGGGCCCTGAAACAGTCAAACACCTAACAGCAGGATGTAAGATGCTGGTCGGAAAAGCATACATGGAACGCTACAACCAAGTAGCCAGTATAGTGTACAGGAATATCTGTGCAGAATATGGAGCTTAAGCTTTCAGGCCTCTGGTCAAGGACCCGAGCTTGAAGAGACACAATACCGCCCAGGGTGGGCAAGAGAAGAGTTAAATATTTACAACCACTCTTCACTCCACTGCACTCCTTATTATTGCACTATTGTCTTGTATTTATGAGTAAAATGTCTATTTTGGTTTGTACATTGTAATTTTTTGTCATTTTGTGTAACATTGCATGTTTAATGTTTGTACATAGAGGGCAACGTTTACAGGGCTCAAATTCCTTGTATGTGTACACATACTTGGCCAATAAAGTGGATTCTGCTTCTGATTCTGCTTCTAAATTTGGAAAATTACTTTTTGTTACTTTGCTTTATAAATACTCAGATTGGTTGTGTTTGGTCAAATCTCTGCTGCAGCTGAGAGGAAAATGGATAGAAAGAGGGGGGCGACTGAAAAGAAAGAAACAAAGAGGGGGGAACAGCTAGCTTCTGACCTTGTTGGCTGCAGGACTTGAGTCCCCTTCACGCTCACAGCAAGAAATAAATGAGATCTGAGCCCTTACGACCATGACAGTTTGATGAACATGTCAAAGAAAACATAGGGGGTAAATTAAATTCCTCTTTCTGCCTACTTTTAATAAAAGATCTTCAGCTTAGTCACAAAAGGATAGCCTGGAGTTGAAGGTAATGTCTGTTTGTGGCACCTTTGAAAACTCATCATTATATTTCTTTTCTTTTCTTTGGGGTAATTTTAGATAGCTATATTAAAGAGACGTGTAATTTAGCTTTGGTAATGCAGTGTTGGTTTCCCTCTTGAATTTTCATCTCTTTCTGTTTCCCTCTGCTATGTCAGTTGTCTTTCAGTTGGAAAGTTGGGGGTTTGATTCCAGGTCCCATGGCGGTCAAGCCAGTGCTGTTAATAGGATTTTTTTTTTTTAGATCAATGAATACATAGACACTTTGTTCATCTCCAAGAGAAATTCACATTCACACTTGATGAGATGAGATGAGATTCAATTTATTGTCAATGTACAGTACAAGTACAGTACAGCGAAAAGTATTTTGTATCTCACCAGAGTGCAAAGTAAACATGTCAGTGCTAGTGATACATTATTTCATAGGTAAGGTTTACATAAATGGGTTGATGTGACATGTAATGTAAAGGGGCTTTAAGTATTCAGAGGACTAGATAAAGTTCTATTCAAAAACAGTCCATTTACTTGTATAATGCCCGATTAGAGGAATTCAGTGCATGGGTTAAAGGGGCTGCAGACACCATAACCAAGCATCCTCCTTCAAAAAAAGAGAAATAGAACAGTATCCCTCACCATTGTCCAAAAGTATAACTAATACAAGCAAAGTAACTCTGTCTCTAAAACCACAAGCTTGTGAACATAAAATATGCTGAGCTGAAATAGCAAATAAAATCTGCTATCCATTACACCTAGAGACAGAACAACCATTATATATAATGGATAACGGTTGTTATAGGGGTTTTTAATCCTGCTGAAAGTCTAGAACACTGTGAACTTTGTTAGGCCACACACACACACACACACACGCACACACACACACATTTTAAAAGGCTTAATCAGTTAATGCTGCATGACCTTTCTCTTCTATAACAACCGTCCTGAGCAGGGTAGGATGCTGAAAGACTTCTGTCAAAGGTGGCCTGTTGATAGTTAGAAATTGCCAATTAACAGCATTGCAGAGGTGTCAATCTGGGCTGATTTCCACTGAGTCACCACACCATCTAAAACACTCACTGAAAAAAAAGGTGCCCAGAGGAAGGGGGCAGAGAGTGAACAAGGAGTAAAAGTTAAAGAGGAGGAGATCTGAAACAATGACTCAACAGGCCTTTGTGTCTCAATGTCAAAAGCATTGCTGCAAAGCTCAGTCAGGCTAGCTGACAAAACAATTAAAAAGGGCTCATCAAAATGTATTGCGTTAATAATGCCCCCTCAGAGGGGGACTTATTTGGCTTGTTAACCTGACCTGTTTATTTCCATAATTTAGGGGATCCACCCCTAACATACAGATGACGATATTTCAGGATTTTTTTTTCAGTTAGATACAAAATGACAGTGCTGCCAAGAAAAGTGACATCCTTAAAGTCTTTGCTGTATTAGTTGGGATGTTAGTAGCCTGGTAAACATGCCTTACATTTCTTATCCAAACTAACACTAATAAATACTGTCTTTATTTATGTTATTTAAGTCAAGCAATGTTCGAGAAACTGACCACATCATACACTCGGTAAAGTTTTAAAAAAGCTTCTTAAATTCTCCCCTATCCACATTCAACACTTAACTGTAATCACTACATTATTGCAGTCAGCATTTGTTCTTCTCTCCTTTTGCACAGTCCATGAAGAAAGAGATGAGCAGCATCTGCTCAGTCTGGCCCCTTCATTGCTTCTTGGCTTTCAGGGAGAGGAGGTTTAACTCTGCATGCCTGTCACCAGGCATCACGGTTTAAGTCGATTTAACGCTCAAGAAAAGGAGATTCAGTTTTACCCACTTTCCTGAGAATCAGTACAGAGAGTAATGGCAAAATTATTGGATTGCCATGGTTACAGATGAGAAAATGGTTTCTCTCTCCCTCTGTATCTTTCATTGTTGAAGAAAATCTGTTGCCTCTACAGGTCTACTTTAGATCAGAATCATGCATTAAAATGAGCACTGAACTCTCTTTTTAAATATCGATAGCTGAGACAATCAGCACATAATTTACGAGTTTGCCTTCGTACCATTTCCTTAACACTCCCTTCTTTCACGAACTTTATAACTTGATGAGTCCTGTTGCAGGAACAATGTATTTATTTAACGTAACTGCTTACTTGTGACACTCGGACTGATGACCCAAGTTACCAGTAGTGGCTTCTATTCAGTCCAGTTTGTGTCACACAATCATAATGGAGCTGACAGCTACATCTGTGTACAGTCACGATGGCTAGTACAATTATCGGGAACAATCAGTGAGCATCTGGAGGCACCAGAGCTCTCAGCTCCACCCCTCACCCCCACTCCAGCTCCTGAATGATGGCCAGACTGCTGTGAGAGCTCACAAAAGAGCAGAATCGCCTGCACTCACATCATTTTACATTTACTCTGTCATCAAAGAAGTAGCTGGCAAAATATCCAAAAAGAAAATAAAAAGGGGAAAAGCACAGACAGATATTGTAGATTCCTTATGAGACTTTTGTCATTTGTACTAACCATGTATGCTGACAATTCTTTTCACAGCCACAAAAAAATAAAATAAAATAAAATCATAAGAGCCCCCTAACACCCCCACTTCTGTACACACATTAACACACAGGATGCAAAAACACACACTTGCACCGACACTCACACACACAGAGCTTGAGACCATTGCAGCTATAATGTACAGATGCCTTATGGGGTCTAAAACTAAGTATACTACTGCTTTGCATTTGTGCTACCAACAGTATCCATGAGTCAAGGGAATGAAGTCCTTGCAGACTGCTGATTTTAGGGGTGAACGCATTTTCAGTCATCTCAAGATAAAACCGACAGTCTGGCTAGAAATGTTTCTGATCCTTTGTGAAGCAAGTTTGTGACTATGTAATAGTCATAAAAAACGTAATACATTGCAAATGTAGTTTATGTTGAGCTAACATTGCTAGCCTGGGTGTTTTGATCAGAATAAGAGAAGTTTTTAATCATCCAGTCTCAGTTAGGACCTGAATGAAGTACATCTGTATACACAATCTCAACAGATCTCTACATAAACAACATCATGAGAAGATCATGACACTGCTACAGTGTGACTACATACTACATAAGATAACTACATACAGCTCCTTATTTCACATGCTGTGAGTATTAAAGACAACCTCTACCTTTGCTACACTATAAGTATGGATGACAGCTGCTAAGATACCAGATTTTTTCGTATAATATAGTATAATAATATGTAAGGATTAGGTTTTCATGTATGAGACTGCCACATAAAATTTGTTTCTTTTTTCATTCCAATTCGATATAGGAGTAAAAATATATATTTTAAGTCAAATGTTTTGTAAGTGGAAATATTGTTAACATTAGTTAAAAATGTTAAAATGTTCATCATGATAAAAGCTTTGACATATATACATTATGTATTTCTTAACAGTAAATCCAACATTTTATTTTCTCATTCTCTGTATCTTGACTCATTTTTTGCTTGAATTGAGTAGGAGCTTGCCAAAGTCTTTTAACACCCTACTATTAGCTGCATAATTTTATGACATTTATATTAATGCCCCAAATGGGAAAGCATCAATTAGCATAGTGTATCTTCCTACGTTGTTAAACATGACTTATAGTTTATGTTCTCCTGTATGGTCCATTTAAAAGCTGTGCTCCTTGTGGACTTAATGAAATGTTAAATCAAATATGCTTTAGCTGGCGGTTTGTGTGTCAAGAGCACAGAGGAGCTGTCCATAAAAATAACCTGATATGACCATATTTCAGACACCATAGCCACGGTATTATCAAGGACATTCATAGTGAACAAGGTGCTATCCTCTCAGCTCCATGATATGAATGAATTGTAGATTGTGTGGTCATGTGCTATTGTAAAAACAAAGAATTAACTTTTACCTTGCTTAATCAATTTGTTGAAAGAGGAGAAAACTTACAGTTATTATTAGCATTATTTATGGCAGTTAAACTCCATGTACACCCACAATCAGTTAGAGTCTAGAGCCAAATAATTCTGTTGTGATCCCACACTGGCTTCCCACACAAGACCCGCACATGTTTGGTGGAAAGCAAAGCTCTGACAGAGAAACAACTGTCAATTCGGGCCATGATATATGTGTTGGTGGTGGTTGGAATCTCATAGTGCCAATATGACCAGTGCTGCGCTCCCCTTTCATTTTTTTTTCTTTTTGGCATTTAAGTTCCTACTTAATATCAATTTGGATCCATATTTGCCATCAATTTAAATCAACACTCCTGTAAATGGCTTTAACTGTTATAAATTTAGGATATTCCATGATATCACAACATATACTTTTGAGGGCCATTACTTCATTTTTTCTTTCTTTTTTTTCCTGCCTCATAAAAAAAAAAAGTTTACTGCGCTAAGCTATCTTGAAATAAAAATGTTGGCAGGTTAAAACAAAAGGGGAAATTGTGCATTTGGAAGCAGAAACAAAACATGACTTCATGACTAAACATGACTAATAAAAAATCTAGATGGTTTTCAATCATCTTAACCATAAAAAGTCAGGTTTTTTTTTTGTCCTACCTGGTGTGTCCCCATATGGCTTTGGTGGTTTTACAGTTTCCCCGAAGCTGACAGTGGCCTTGGTGGTGGTTATCTTAGGCTCTGGTGTGGTCACCACAGTGAACGTCCTTTGTGAGAGCCTTGTTGTAGTGCTAGTGGATGCTGCCACCATGGTTGTTGAGACCCTAGTAGACAGTGTTACATTTGACTCCAGCTTGCTATCATCATCAGTGCTATCTGTCCCGGTGGGTCCCCAGTCTATAAATCCAGCCACTGTTGTAGTCCGGCCCTCCTGAGACTTGTCGTTTTCCAATTTAAGCTGCCTCCTGGCTCTGAGTAACAACCTAACGGTGTCTCCTGCACTCCCGCTGAATAAAGCACCAGTCTGTTCAGCCAAAGTATTACTTGTCTCCTTTGGAAGGTATCTCAATTGGCACTCCTTACATGCTGTTTGTCCTCTATATGCTGGTCTCCAGTGCATTTGACCCTTAACTTTCATCCCAAACCCTGCCCTGGTGTCTTGGGGTGAAGGGAGTGGGTTTAGGAGTCGGCGAGCTAACGGGCTTACTGTTTTCCAGTGAAGCTTGTTGGGCATATCCCAGAGAAGCTGCCAGCGAGGTCTTGAGCGAGGCACTGATTTAGGAGTGAGTTTGACCCCGAGACCCTGACTGAGGGGACTGCAGACAGAGAAGTCCAAAGTGAGGTGAGCCATGGCCAGCAGAATCCATACCCGGTGCCCCACACAGCTGCCTGGCCTTGTGGCTGATGGACTGCAGAGAATAAAGAAGGTATATGAGCAAAAACATGTAAGATCCAGACACATTTCAGAACACACTCAAATCACACAAATCAAGTTCCCTACATCCCAAAACTTTAAGTTGAGTTTTTGGGTAAACAATTTCACTCACCTTTAGTTTGTAGTTTTGGCAAATCTTTAACTTTGACCTCTTAAACAGTACAGAGTCAGACACAAAGTCAAATGTTATCAAATCAGGCTAATAAGGACTCACATTCCTCTCAGCTGTAAGAAGTAGTCAAATTTCAATGTAACAACTTCATGTCAATCTAAAAATAAGTGCAACCATGAGTCAAGAGTATGTGGCTTTGGACAAAAGCATCTGTTAAGTGACATTGTCACATTGTAACATTGACATAAAAGATCAGGGGCCTCATGTATCAACGCTGGTGGCGCCAGAAAACCTTGCGTTCGCCAAGATCGGCGCACACATCCAGATTTATCATCGCGACACAAGCGTCGGTTCCAGCGCAAATCCACGCAAAGTGAGGAGGTTGTGTAGAAGCTGGCATTGAGTCGATACTTGCGTTGACGGCACTTTGGCGACACTGTGTGGCTGTGTTTGGTGACTCACTATAATAAGCGTGCACCACATCCCCGTGGCCGAGCAGCACGTCACCCCACATGACCAACCAGCAGCAGACGGAGGGATGCGAGCTGATCCCTGCCGGGCCGCCGTCCTCGTGCGGGAGAATCTCATCGCCACAATGTGAATGGGTTAGAAGTGAATACACAGTTCAATGAGCCAAATTAATTTATTTTCTCCACCAGACGCTCAAGGACATTTACGAGCCGGTCCAGCCGCTCGTTGATCCCCATGATCCCCCTGATGATTTCTTCCTACGATTGCAGGACCGCCTCCGTGAGGACCCTTCCACTGCGTCCGGGTGGTCCAGCAGAAGCGCCGCGGCTGTGGACGCTCCACCGCTTGTCGGCGCACTGGTGCTGGGGCCAGGGGCTGGGGTGGCCCGAATACCGCTGGTCCTGGCCGACGACTCCGAGCCAGCGGACAGGCTGCCGCGGGCCGGGGTTACGCAAGCCGGCACCACGGCTGACACATTGCCCTCGTTTCCAGTATGAGTCCCATGCAAGTGTTGATACATGAGGCCCCAGGTCTGGTTTAGCTGATTATCAAATTCTGCATTATCTTCCTTAGATAAAAAGTCATCTTATTTCCAAAGGGTAAGTTTATTATGCAGTGCAATGATCAGGGAGGTTACTGGCAGAAGACTGCATGGCAAGAGTATTTCAGAAGTGTCCTCAGAAACAGAAATCCCATCAATTTTATTCAAAACTGACTAGTGTCACAAAATTTCCTTTTTTACTGTAAAGACTTGCTTATCATCCAGATTTCAAGGTGATAGATAGCCCTGCTATTTACGGGAAGGACCATGCAGTGGACAGAGTTCTTAGACAACCTTCAGTGCCCAATGTCTGGAAACAGAACATGTCCTGGGAACAGGACGTTTGGACACTCTATGTTACCTTCAGACAGAGCTAGCCGCTAAAAGTCCTGTTGTGGTCCTCATGGATCAGGGATAGGCCACAGGGTTGTTTAGTTTTAATGATGAAGCCATAACCAGGAAGTATTTCTCATCTACATGAACCGATAAACAGTCAAGAGTAGGGTTGGGTATCGTTTGATTTTGAACGATTCAGATTCCGATTCCGATTTCGATTCCTCGATTTGATTCCAATTCCTATCGATTCTCTATTTCGATTCTTTTAAAAGGCAGGATATAAAAAAAAAAAAGAAAAAGCATAGTTTGAATGAGGGCGCTAACCGGAGCTCATCTTTTTAGATGAAACTTCTGAACTTCTCCATGAATTTTTTAATCATATTAACTTTTTAAGAACTTTACTTTGAATTTCTCAAAGGGCTATTTTCAACCAGTATATAAATATCATTTTTTTTTGTCAGGTTGTTTGTCTATGAAAAAGTACATGGGCTAATGTTAGTTGAATATATTAAGTTTACTCACTGTACTCAGTACAATTTGTTTACCGCTTCAATGTAAGCAGAGGACAGAAGTAATTTATTGTTTCACTTATCTGATCCTGACTGGTTAGCGGAAGACAGGTGTTGTGCTGTAGAATGAACCCCTGCCATAGAATGCCTCCCCTCCACTCATTAGCTTCTTAAAGTGTAAGACAATGATCTCATATTAAAAAAAAACCACAAGTATTAGATAATGAAAACATGTCAAATGGAGCAGTAAACTTTCGTTTTGTTTTTATGTGTCTCAAAAATGCACACATAGAGGTATACTTGGGTATATAAACTGTACAGTAAGCTGTTAAGGTAGAGAGCATCATATTTTCGGGACAGTAAATACTCCGAATCAGAGGGCTATTGTTTTCAGCATATCTGAATAGCCTGAATGAAATCATTAAAGGCACACGCTTTAGATTCCGTTCAACAGTAAGGAAAACTTGGATTGTTTCGCCTTGTTGTGTACTTTCAACCGCGGTCCCGTCAGGGGTGCATTCAACGGCAGGGGTGCATTCTTTGGCACAACACCGGCGAAGCGCGTCAAAGACGGGCACTCGGGTATTTCTCCTCAATGAATCCTGAGGTGTTTAATCATGTTGGTCGTTTACCCTCCTTTGCATGATATAACTGTATTGCTAATGTTGTATTGAGATAAGAGTTCATTCTTCCTGCTAAAGTTAGCCAAACTTTTGACCACCGAAGAAGCTGCCGAACACCAATGGGGACGGAGCGTATGAGACGAAGCCACACAGAGAGAGAGGAGAGAGACAGAGAGAGAGAGTGCATTGTAACCCTCAGCGGCTGCATTGCTGTGGGTTGCAATGTACGGTCTCTCTCTGTCTCTCGTCACTTTCTGTGTGGCTTCGTCTCATACGCTCCGTCCTCATTGGTGTTAAGTGGCTTCTTCTTCGTTGATTTTCTGTGGCTATTTCTTCCGGTCGGCGGACTCCGGCATCGAAACTTGGAATCGAAATTTTAATATTTGAACGATACCGGAAGAATCGAAATGTTAGTCCCGGTCCCCATCGATACTCGATTCTCGATACCCAACCCTAGTCAAGATTGGTGTTTGTGGTATTTGACTTTTGAATTTACTGGATGACATGCGTCTCTCCCATGCTTGACATCCTTTCTAGGACGCTCTTCTTTGTGCAGATTAGCACAAGCTTGAGATGCTTCTTGAACAGAGCTGAAATGCACTGCAACGCTTCCTGTGTGCGATGCTGCATTGATTAGAACGGGAACGTATTTGCTGCATAGCACACAACACTGACAGAGTGTCATGAACATCCATCCTGTGGGTTTTGAGCTTAATACTACAACAGCTTGCATTGCTGCATTTATTTTAATTGACAAACACAGACACATTCTGTTCAAACCTTGCTTGAACTTGGTAGTTGTGTGTAACAACAATCAGACCCTGAACTTTAACAGTTTGAGAGAGGATTTACTTTGTGTACTTAACAACTCTTTATTTTCTCCCTACTTTTCAACTAAATTTTTAGAGATAAGCCAAAACAAATAAGAGAAGATATAATTTAGAATGGCATTTTGATTGGACTGTAAACAGTGATTGCTGTGGTCACAAAAAGGGAGTGACAAGGTGGCTGTAATATCAACAGCTCTGAAGATGGGTTATAATTTGTCTGAAGTGATTTAGGGCCCTGCCCTTAAGCTGTAATGCTTGTAGGTTGCCAGTTGACAGACTGAGACACCTTCATTTTTCTGAACTGGTGCATGAACAAGTATAGAGGGGAATTTCATTCATCCTTAGAGAGTAATGGAGATTGCGATGTGTAATTCTGGGCTCTTGTCCCTGTCACATGCACTGTGATGGAAGAATTGTTCAAAAGCAGTACGTAAGCAGCAAAAAAAAAAGAAAAAAAAAAAAAAACAGATTCTAATGATTTTATCAAAATTTCTTCGCACGCATTGTTGGGTGGCATTTTTTGTGACCAACAAGCTTTTTTAAGACCTGGCTCCCACTATGCAGCCTATTTTGGAGCCATACATACCTGTAATGAAAATGCTTTGTGAATTTATGCATTAAACTGTAAAACAGCATGCCTGAAATTGTGACTTTAACCAGAACTTGACAGTTATCAGATGGAGCCCAAGATTCTGCCAGAAGAAAAAAAAATCTCTACAATTCTCCCTCCACTTTCAAAATACACACTTCACATTTTTTACTGCTACTGGTCCACTGGCTATCATAACTGCAATATGTTCAGTTGTAGATGGGTAGAGATTCTCTGTATTGTTGAGATGTGTTTGTGAATCTCTGTGTTTGATTTCAACCTCTACTGTCCTTCATCGTGCTCTAGCAATGTTGAATTACAACAAAAAGTCAGTGATGTAACAGAATATGTAAGATGTGATATTCAGAGCAGCATATTCTTTGGATTATACTCCCCGAATATGCGCTGGAAGAGAGTTCACCAAGCTTGACTTTTCTCTCTTCTCTCTGCCAGTTTAAGCTGTACTATATTCAGTAAATCTACTTCAACTTATTCTGCTGCTTCCTGCAAATGCCACTGTCACAAGGGTTGGGATTAGTCCTTGACAGGAAAATTAAACACATGATCTTTGAGAACCACGTTTGCTGCACACAACTCAAGTTTCCCATTTCCTTGAAATATCACTGACACATGCCTCAAGCTCTGATCTTTACCACTTAACTGTATAAAAAAAATGCTCTCTCAATATGTTTACAACCTGCCTGTAGTCAAACAGACTTAAAGAAGTGGAGCTGATGACTTTAACGGTATAGTTACATTACACATTGTTTGTCTGACCAATGCAAAATGCATATGTTCATGATTGACTGTCAATTTTTCTTTAGAACCCATGCTGCACTTCTGTGCACACAGGGATAACATTAGACTGAGCAATCCATTGCACACATAACTTAATACCATTTTTAGGCCCTTGAAACTGAAAGCCTCACATAACCAACATAATACCTTCAAAAGGCTAAAATGAATTAAGAGTGGCCTTTGAAGTCTATGAAAAAGATTCACAGTATTATCCTGAATTAAAAGCTTCAGCAAAGGGTGGAAGCGGTTCATAAAAAGAACCATTCATATAGACAGTTCTGCCTTGATGGTACAAGTTTCTTTGCATAAGAGGATGTTGTCCAGATCCACCACATCAGAATGTTGACATGTGGATGAAATCCTCTTAAACAAACGACCTGAATCATATTGTTAGAAGTGTTCTGCAATGGTCTGCGATGTTTTTGGATCACCATGTTTCAGGTGTATTGTTTTCTCTCTCTTTCATGACCTGTAAGTTCTACCACAGTAGTATCTAAGGGCTCTTATTCTAAACTAGACCAAGGCACCCTGAATGAAGTATTTTAGTCTTTTACTCTGGATTAAATGTAACATCAGATGAAGGGTTTTGTATGGAGCCTTTGTGCGTATGCTGTTCCTCAGCAACAGAGGTCTGTATTTTAGTCTCTCCTACCAATTACCTTGTCTATGCAGCATGCAATTGTCTCACTTGCATAAGTAATCATAGTTCCTAAAATAAAGGGAATATTTTTTTAACTACAATAATTTCCACAAAAAGTTTCTTAAGTTAGGTTTTGTTCATGTATTTGGGATAAGCAACTTGTAGCGCCAGCAAGAATCCACTTAGAAGAGATTTAAGCACTTAACAACCTGAGTGATCTGAAAGCCTCTCTTCAAAAATCTTTACAGAAAAGCCTATGTCTAACCTGATTATGCCGTGCATTATCTTAGATAATACTTATTTGGACTGATTTGCCATGAAGAGATGTAGAGGGCTCAGAAGCACAAGTATACTTAGCTGCAATTTAGTGGCATGTTGAGGCTGTTTGGGGGCAAGGGGGAACAAATATCAAGGGCTCTTCATGTGTGGCACACAGGGCACCAGGGTAGAGAATAGACCTCTGGTGTCTTAAAATATCAAATATCAACAAATATCAAGGGCTCTACATGTGTGGCACACAGGGCATCAGGGTAGAGAATAGACCTCTGGTTTCTTAAAATACCATGTTTTTAGCTGCTGTCCTGTCAAGCACCCTCCCCCCAAAAAAGAGCTTTCCGGAGGCAGGCCCAGGACAGAGGTCAATGTTTTGGCCCCGTCCCCTCTATTGTATTCATTCAGTACAGCAGCGCCTCTTGGAGCCTGCCTAAAATAAGGGCTGATTTGCTATATATGTTACATAAAATATATACCTCTTGATGAGCATGCCCGGACACCCCACAATGTATGCAGTAATTTCATAAAATCCAAAAGGAAACACTGTGCCAATAGCATAGACTGTGTATACTATGGACAACTTGGTTCTGCCTTCCACCATTGTACGGATTCGAAGCCGAATTGCTCTCGGTATTCCCGACATTTTCTCCACTTCCTGGAACCACCACTGGCGCAATAGCATTGTACGCATTCGGCGGGAGAGTTGCTGTGATGACACTCTGCTCAAACAACTTATCCCCTGGGTGAGCTAGGCAAGCTTCGTACGCCCATAGGCTGTATCAAGTGTCAATCATAGAAAACATGAACCCCCAAATAACTTTTTAAAATGGAGCTGTACAGAAAAAAGAGGACTTAAGCACAAACCAGTCTTGCTGTAACTACATGTCAACATCACGGGGGGGGGGGGGGGGGGGGGATTAATTACTTTTTAAAGTTTGTCCATAGTGATTGCTGGAGGATGCAGGATTTATGACCTACACTGCAGCCTGTCACCAGAGGGTGCTGTCCTTGGGGTGGCTTCATCCAGCTGGGAGGCAGACGGTGTCCTTTCTATATACAGTTTGCTTCACTGTAGGGATGGTATTGTAAGCGGTGCCTGGTTTCCTCCAGACATGATGCTTGAGTTTGATCTTCGTTTCATCAGACCAGAGAATTTTGTTTCTCCTGGTCTGTGAGTCCTTCAAGTGCCTTCTAGCAAAGTCCAAGCGGGCTGTCATGTGCTTTTTACTGAGGAGTGGCTTCTGTCTGGCCACTCTACCATAAATGCCTGACTGGTGGAGTGCTGCAGAGATGGTGGTCCTTCTGTAGGGTTCTCCCATCTCCTCAGAGGAATGCTGGAGCTCTGTCAGAGTGACCATTGGGTTCTTGGTCACCTCCCTGACCAAGGCCCTTCTCCCCCGCTTGCTCATTTTGGCTGGGCGGCCAGCTCTAGGAAGAGTCCTGGTGGATCCAAACGTCTTCCATTTCTTAATGATGGAGACCACTGTGCTTTTTGGGATCTTCAATGCAACAGATATTTTTCTGTAACCTTCCCCAGATCTTTGCACTGATACAATCCTGTTTCGGAGGTCTACCAACAATTCTTTCAACTTCATGGCTTGGTTTGTGCTCTGACGTGCTCTGTCAGCTGTGGGATCTTAGATAGACAGGTGTGGCTTTCCAAATCATGTCCAATCAGCTGAATTTGCCACAGGTGGACTGCAATCAAGTTGAAGGAACATTTCAGGGCTGATCAGTGGAAACAGGATGCAACTGAGCTTAATTTTGAGTTTTATAGCAAACGGTGTGAATACTTATGTATGCAACATTTGAGTGTCTCATTTTTAATAAATTTGCAAAACGTTCTAAAAAAAGTTTTCCGCTTTGTCATTATGGGGTATTTTGTGTAGAATTTTTAAGGGAAAAAGGGAATTTAATCCATTTTTGAATAAGGCTGTAACATAACAAAATGTGGAAAAAGTGAAGCGGTATGAATACTTTCTGGATGCACTGTATATTTAGCTACTACATATCCACGCATGTACAAAAAAAATAAAAAATAAAAGGACTAAATAGACACTTTAGACACTTTTTTTCCCGATTCAACCTTTTGGTCCATGAATGTTACAATTCTCCAAATCTTTTCTTTTTTATGTTAAAACAACAGTCTAAAATCCAAATATACTCAGTGTTTAAAGACAAAAGATAAAGAGAAACAGAAAACCCTCACCACTGATAAGCTGAGACTATCCTCACACATTTTTTATCTATCTCAACAGTGAAGAAATTTCCAGCCAGTTTTATTTACCATTTCATATTAATGGAGGGATTTATCACTCATTATCAAATGTCAAGCATCTTGAAGGCTGGGTTACTGTGAAGTTACATTTTATCTCTGTGAAGAGGAGACTCATTTCATCCTAAGTGCTTGAAACATGTACAGCATCCTAAAAAAGCTCTGTAGTGTCCAGTATCTGATGTTACTGCTCTTCTCAGACAAGATTAAAGCAGTTGAGTGCTGTGTCTGCTATAAAGCACAGCAAATTTGTAAATCATGAACCACTGGGGCACAGATACGTGAAGAAACGAAGAGCAGAAGATTGTCTCCATAAATTAGGCCCAATTTAAAGCTTCACCATGTTAAACTATTAAAATAAAGTCCAGTTCTGCAAAAAAAGGAATACATGAACAGAGCTCTACTCATAAAGACAATTAAAAAAGTCTAAATGTAGAATGAAGTTTCTTTCTTACAGTGTATTTAAATTACTGTCATGAGATTACAAGGGGCTAACAAAGGATTATCTGAGTCTTTAACCTAATCATTCCCCTCATGTTAGACCCACTTACTAAGACTAGGGGCTCTATTTTTGTGCCTCTCCAGTGGCGTGGCGCAGGCATGGCATAAGTCAGGTCTGCCGCACCAATAAGGTGTGCCCAAGCACAGTTTGGTATTTTAGGGAGCGGCACAGTGGCGCAAGTACCCCCCCCCCCCCCCCCCCATTTTCAGCCCATGCAGCCACTGAGAATTGCATAAGTAAAGGTGGCTCTCCATCTGATGCAAAGCTGGATGTGATGGAAGAAGCTGTCAGCCCAACAGGGTGTAGACTGAATCAGTGGTTTACTTTTTTTCCACTTCTCTGTGGTTTTCTGAGTTTTCCTGTGTCCAAAAATTCAGAGTATGAAATACCACTAATGGTGTTATTCAGGAGTAGAAGAAGCAATTGACAGAGCATTTCACTGATGAACTATGGTGTCCATGTACCTCCCACACACATCTAAAAACAGCACTTTGAAAAATACAGATCCATTGGGGAAAAGGTTTACCAGCTGAGGTTCAGGAAGTTCTGAGCTGCAGTGGGTGGTTTTTAGTAGTAGATCCAAACAGACACATCAAGTGGTTAAAATAAAGATTTTTTTTAAAGGTTTGCTGTCAGCAAACTCATGTTCCCCTATTTGATGTTTTGTCATTGTTTGAACTTCAGAAGGAATAATTGAACCTGACAGCTTGCTGAAAGAAATAAAAACTTATAAACATACATAAACAACAAATGCTACAAAAGGCAACTGCCTTATTTCTCAAAGTAGTGACATATTTTTCCTTGCATATACTCAAAACCTAACAAATTCTCTATTTAGTTCCAAGGGTTGTTTGTTGGTTAAGTTAACTAAAAAATGCTAAATAAAATAAAGGCCTGCAGGGGAAAAAAGGGGCTGATATATTTCTATAAAAGGATATGGTTGCAACTTTGATAAACATTATGTTATCTTTTGACTCTAATATTCACAAGATGTCTGGGATAAAAACAAAAAATTCCACAAAAGCTAAAAGAGGGTCTTGAGGAAACTTAAAGACAGCAATGTGCCACAAAGAGTTGAACATCCAGACTGCTGCAAAACCCTACCAAGTAAGTCAATAAAGAGGAATTAATTAATTGCAGTACTAAGGTACAGTATTGAAGCCATTCTTTTGATGATTTAGATGTGTGCTTTGGGTCATTGTCATGCTGAAAGATGAAATTCCTCATCATCTTCAGATTTCTAGCAGAAGGCTGAAGGTTTTGTGCCAACACTGACTGGTATTTGGAACTGTTCATAATTCCCTTCACCCTGACTAAGGTACCAGTTCCAGCAGAAGAAAAACAGCCTCAAAGCATGAAGCTGCCACCACCATGCTTAACTGTGGGTATGGTGTTCTTTTGGTGATGAGCAGTGTTGATTTTGTGACAAATACACTTTTTGCAATGATGCCAAGTGGTGTGTCAGTCATGAACGAACGGATCAAAAGAACTAGTTCTTTTTGGTGAACAAAATGAACGAGGTCACCCCCCCTAAATGATCCGTTCAGTCCGTTCGGTTCTTTTGATTGGCTGAAGAGTCAGTTCACCGTTCCTTAGGGCGGGACTATCTCAGTGCTTGCCTGTCTTATCCTACCATCGCGCCTCCCTCTGTCGGTGGGTGGGGCTTAGAGAAGCAGCAGCAGTACTGAGCTGACTGAAAGACTGGGACCGATGACCGACTCAGTCTCCGTCTTTTCAGTCAGCTCGGTCTGACCGAGAGATTGACCGACTCTCAGACTGATTGAGTACTAGCGTTCACTCTCTGCGAGGTGCTGTCAGCCTGTCACTAGCCGACCGACTTGAGAACGCAACGGGATGTACTGAATAAAATAAACTATAAGGCAGTCTCTTGCAGGGGGTATCTGTACTCACAAGTCCAACAAACAGTGCCGCGGCAGCCGCACGAGCCGACAGCCGAGCCCGAGGTTTAGCATGCTAAGCTAACAAACAGCGGTTGATAAGAGTACGGAGCCGGATGCGTTTGTCCAGCAAAATATCCCAATGCTGTACGGTCACATCTGTATTCAGCCACCATTTGAATTAGTACCAATGCGTAATGTGCTAGCTTAGCTATATAGCTTGGTTTAGCTGGGTCAACATGCCGGTGTTTCGGTGTAAAAAGTGACCCTGTTACCTGGAGACTTTCGAAAAAATGCACATGAGATTGTCCCAAGTTGCACAGCTGTTGAATACGTATCCTTAGATCTCTCTGTGTTTTGAATGTCAGCAAAGACGTATCTGTTGGAAATACTTGATGTTATTGTCACAAAGGGAGCTAAGAGGCTCTCGTTCGTTCAGAGTCTTAACAGATTTCCCCCTGCATAAACCCGGTCAGCCGTGTCAAGCTAGTCCGTTCGCTCATGTTCACGTTCGTTCAGCATCTGAACGACCAATTGACCGAAATGACCGAAATGAACGGATCTTTTTACTGAACGAACCGGAATGATCCGGTTCACTGAAATGAATGGTTTTGCCCACCACTAATTATGCCCAGAAAGTTCAGCTTTGGTTTCATCAGACTCATCAGTTTCATCAGATCAGATGCGTTTGGGAGATTTTAGATGTCTTTTTGCAAAATTAAGCTGGACTTTGATGTTTTTTTTGTAAGATAAGGCTTCTGTCTTGCCACCCTACCCCATAGCCCAGACATATGAAGACAGCAGGAGATTGTTGTCACATGTACTACACAGCCAGTACTTGCCAGAAATTCCTGCAGCTCCTTCAGTGTTGCCGTTGGCCTCTTGGTAGCATCTCTGACCAGTTTTCTTCTTGTCTTATGATCAATTTTGGACGGTAGTCCTGTTCTTGGTAATGTCACCATTATGCCATATTTTCTCCCTTTGATGATGATGGTCTTCACTGTGTTCCATGGTATATTTAATTCCTTGGAAATTCTTTTGTAGCCTTCACCTGACTGATATCTTTGAATAATGAGATCCCTCTGATGCTTTGGAAGCTCTCTGTGGACCATGGCTTGCGCTGGAAGATGTGGCTACAAAAATGTCGGGAAAAGCCTACTAGAACAGCTGAACTTAATTTGGGGTTGATCAGAGGCACTTTAATTGATGACAGGTGTGTGTTTGAATGTTATTGGTTAAATCTGACCACAGCCACACCCCCAGTTATTAAAGGGTGTGCACACTTATGCAGCCACATGATCTCAGTTGTTTATTTTTACTTCACCTTCCTGAAAGATTTCTGTTTGTTTTTCAATTGTGTTGTACAGGTCACATTATAGGTGCAAGAAGTTGTGAAATTATTTATCTTGATTTAATTTTTTTACATGACAAAAACCTGTCAGTTGAACAGGGGTGTGTAGACTTTTTATATCCGCTGTACATAATCAAATATTGGGGCATGCATTGTGGTGTGTTCATTTGAACACTGATGATTGCTGAGGTTTCCTGTCTGTCAGGTTTTAAGACAAATCTTTCATTAAAAAAATAAAAAAAAATAAAAAGAGGAGGATATCAGTCAAAAATTATTTTTCTTTTTGTTCAGAATTAGTTTCAAACTGAAACATTTCCAAACACCTGAACTAACAAACTGCTGGTTTCAATATGTTACATACCACTAAGTCAGCATACTTAATGCAAAGCCACTGACCAATTTTGTAATTTTAAGTTGATCCTTGCACTGTAAATTGACTGTTTTTTTTCACAGTTGTTCTATCTCCTTTGAGTTCCTATCCTGATTATCATCAGTTGTACTCATTACACACCCCTGACTTTGGCATTAATCAAGTCTGGTTCAAACCCCTTGTTTTTTCTGCTCCCCTGACTGATTCATCTTTTATTTGTCCTTGAGTGTTCATCAGTTTTCACCCATTTTTCAGTGTTATTTTCTGTTTTGTTTTTTTATTTACTTCACATTATGATTTGGTTGGTTGGATTTTTGCCTGTCCCCTTACTGGGTTTGTTTGCTGTTTTTGGACTAACATTTGTATTATTGTCTTTTTCGGCAGGTTAAGACTGGGTGCTTTTACTTCTTCATGTCTCCTGGTACAGCCTTTGTGCTTGAGCCTCTGTTTGTGCATGATACTTCATGCTGCATGCCTTTCGCGCTATACGTGGACCAATGGCACTTTTATAGTCTTAAGACCACTTAAAGAGCTGTTACAATAGATGTCATATTTCTAGAGAATGTTTCTAACTTTATCTTAACCAGAGTAAAAACTAAATGAGATTGAACTTTCTGTTTCAAAAGATTCCGTGGGTAGACAGGCAGCGGCAAATCAGACAATGAGCAGCAATACAATGCTAATACAAAGTAAATGTCCATAGTACTTGCTCTCCTTGCTGGGTGAAGCCACTCGGAGAACAGCACCCTCTGTTGACGGGCTGCAGTATAGGTCCAAAATCCCGCCTCTGCCAGCAAAGCTTATGGGCCTGTGGACAAACTTCAGAAATTTTTTACACAGAACATAATTTTTTTTCTCCCTGCTTGCGGTGTTGACATGTAGTTACAGTAAGACTGGTTTGTGCTCAAGTCCTCTTTTCTCTGTGAAGCTCCATTTTTAAAAGTTATTAGCACTAGAAGGACCAGCTTTTGCTGTTCCTACCTATAAAGACCAAAGGGCAGCCAAATGGCTTGGTGGGCTTTAGCCAGTACTAAATCACCTGTGAACACTCAGTTTGTTATGCAAACGAGGTGATCGCTGGCGCACCACAGGAGGGGATATGCTGAGTTACTTCAAGAAAACTTGTGTTGTTGGGAGAGGGAGTGGGGAGGGGGAGGGGAGTTTCCAACCTGAGAACAACTGTAGACAGAAACTGCTTCAGCCATAGCCACTGCACAGACAGTTTGGGCCTTTGTTTGTTTTGTTTGGTTCTACTTCTACTGATGTCCCTGCACCTCAGCAGATGGAGAACCAACGGCTAAGGCCAGGAGGCCCATCTTGACTCGTCTTCAGGGCTTCCTGTGTTTCATCACACTGGACATGCTTGGTTCTATTCAAGACTGTACTGTTCAACATGCAAAGCAAACAGAGTATGTTGATTTAGGCTGTATTGGCTGAGCGAGATCGTGTTGGTTCGTTCCACTTCAGTGGGGCAACATAAACTGTGATTCATAAAAAAGCTCTATTGATAGTAAGTACTAAAAAAAAATATCTACTCATGCCATCCAGTTGATTTTTAGTAATCAGTGTTTCGGTGTCAAACTATTTCCCTTCTGCGGCATAGTGATACTTGCACACGCGCAATCGAATATGCAGGGGGTGAAGCGATTTTTGTCACGTGGACCAATAGGAGCCGAGTCTCGTTGCCACAGTATCAGAAATACACAAACATGGCGACGACAGCATCTCGCAGCTAAACAAGCGAAGAGGAAGAAAAGAACAGGAAAAAAAAGAAAACAGCGTTCAAAAGTGCATAAAAATTGAATGAAACGATGCTATCTGAATCTATCATCTGTCCAGAGTGAAGGCGTTCTCGACTTTACATGGACATGATGGGAAACTTACAGAACTAGTATTGGAAAGTGGCTTTCTCTACAGGGTGAGACAAAAGACCTTGCAGAAACTTAAACATTGCGTTGATATATTTCAGTTATTTCACACTTTTTTCTTAAGCACACGATTCCACATGTGTACATTCATAGTTTTGATGCCTTCACTGAGAATCTACAATTAAAATAGCAATAAGAATAAAGAAAATGCGTTGAATGAGAAGGTGTGTCCAAACTTTTGGACTGTACTGTATACTCAGTCCGACTTTTGTCACCAGCCAGAAATGTACATATATGTGAGTAACCCAAAAAACAATGATATGGTGCTGCTGTTTTTGCTTGTAGAAACTGCTATGTTGATTCTGGCAAGACAAAATCTTTCTCAAATGTCACAAATACATCTACCTAACATCTGAAACAGTTATTGGTGCCTTAGTATACGCATAAGTGAATTCAGATTATGAAATGTAGCAAATTTCTTGAAGAAAACGTCTCAACTCAAGTGATTTGCACCCAGCACAATGAAATATATACAGCACATTTAGCTAAAAGCTTATGTTTCATACATAAAAATGACACAACCTACTGTGTAATAGAAGCAATAAAATGTAAACAGCACATCAGGCAAGATTTGTGAAGAAAGTGTGAAGGGGCACACATTTTACCAGTCACTTATGCGTGTACTAAGGCACCAATAACTGTTTTAGATGTTTGGTAGATGTATTTATGACATTTGAGAAAGATTTTGTCTTGCCAGAATCAACATGGCAGTTTCTACAAGCAAAAACAGCACCATATAATTGTTTTTGGGTTACTCACATATATGTACATTTCTGACTGGTGACAAAAGTCGGACAGATAGTCTGAGTAGATATTTTAACCCAAAGTCCAGAATGGTATTGTCAATGCAAAAATGCATTCAACAAGTAGCATGATATGGCAGCATTGAATGCACATGTGCTGTATCAAGCCCTGTATTGTCCCTTCCCACTGCATACACCACTTAGTCCAGTCCCCTCCTGTGGTGCACCAACGATCGCCTCGTTTGCATAACAAAATGAGTGCTCACAGGTGATTTAGGATATTAGCCAAAAGCCTTCCAGCTGATCGGCTGCCCCGTGGACCTTGAGGGGGGTAAAGCCAAATGGCTGCTCTGTGGTCCTTCTAGTGTTAGGGGGTTCATGTTTTCTATGATTGACACCTGATACAGCCTATTGGCGTTTAGGGATTGCATAGCTCACCCGGGGGATACGCTGTTTGAGCCGAGCGCCATCAAGGCAACTCTCCCGCGTAATGTGTACAACGCTACTGCACAATGCTGGTTTCAGGAAATGAAGAAAAATCGTGGAAATACCGAATTTTTGGCTTCAAATCCGTATCAAGGCGGGAGGCGGAACCAAGTTGTCCATAGTATATACAATCTATGGTGGACGCCCACACCCACACATCTCTGTCTCCAAATAGTTTCACACACTTTAAAACAATCCAATTAGGCCAGTTGATTTGGCTTGAGCTTTTTTGTGGCAAGTAGAGGGAGCACCAAGCTTAACGCCTTTTTCCTTGTTTCAGTACTGACCTTTGAAACACATGTAAAAGTAAGAAAAGGTCCCTGTACCAAATTTTGATACTATTCTGTTCTGCAGACCCAAAACAGAGTTGTAAATACGAATATGTCAGTGGTGTACATTTTTCAAATTTCAAATGTATCTAACAGGGAAGTCCTGTTGAATTAAAAATCCTGTTTGAAATAGACACCAGGCCAAGGCCTTAGAGAATAGCAAAAACATGACAAATCACACACACAACATGACATAAGGAAGTTGAACAGTAAATTAGCCAAGAAAAAATATCAAATGCAAGGAGAAACAACAAAAATGTCAAATAAAAGGAAAAACAACAATATGCCTCAGTCACCAAATTCTTTACAATACGCTTGAATTTAAGTGATTTGAATGGGCCCAGTTTGATACTGTCAAATCCACTTAATCATTAACGCAAAAAGATACATGATCCTGTGAATCAAAGGTCCAAACAGTGGATGGAGATGCATGCATATACAGTATATCATGTGATCCACAGGCTTTTTCTTTCTTGGCACTGAAAGTACAGCTGAATTTTTTCCTCGTCATCATGTGAAAAAAAAACAGCAATCAGACAAACCAGTTCATACAGCAAACAATGATGAGTAAGGGACCAGAGCATGTAAGCTTGGAAAAGAGGCCATCTATGGTCCAACACAGATGTAAAAGTTTGAGTGTTTCTAAAGGAGGCAGCACATCTCACGTACCAATTTATGGAGGGCAAATAATCAACATTTCACCAGTTTTATTTGACTTACATCACAAAAAACAAACGCTTACATGTTTTGGCACAGGGCCTTCATTAGAGTATTTGTTGGACTGATTGTACAGGTACCCTAATATATGGTTTCTCAACAGCAGAGTTAAGTTTCTACACAGCTGCAAGTGGTGTCCATTTAGTCAAGCACCAATCACTTCTCTATCAAAGTTGACTTTGTAAGAGCTAATAGCTACTCACAGCCAAGGTTAACATCCACATGACAGTAATTGTTGATTAATTAGTGCTCAGCATTATACATGAACAAGCTCCTGAAGTGAAACATATTCAACACAACTAGTCCTACTTTAAAAAGCATAAAAAGCAAACTGAAATCATCATTGAGTCCATTCGGTGTCATTGCCTTGAAAATCAGAAACATTTCCCTCTGGGCAGGTCTCTTCAGAATGTCACCTCCTCTAATGTGATTTTTTTCCCCACTACTTACACTAGAATTTCAGTGAGGAGGGTGAACCATGATTTACTTCAATATAATGTTTTTTCGATTGGATAGTCTATGTTACCTGTACGGATGGCTGTTTTGTGCTCTGAGATACATTGCTTCAGGGGTCGTTTGGTTTGTTTGATGTATGCTAAGCCGCAGGTACATAATAGCATGTAGATAACATATGTGGTTTTGCAGTTTATAAGGCCTTGAATTGAAATTTTCTTCTCAGTGTGAGGATGGCTGAATTTTTTTGTATTAATTGTATTGTTGCAACAAGCAGAGTTACCACATCTATTCATACCAGTCGTTGTCAGCTAAGGCTGCACGATATTGGAAAAAAATAATATTGCGATTTTTTCAACCCTGCGATATATATTGCGATATTAAAAATACAGTATTTTCACCAGATGACCTGAATAGCACTTAATGTTATGCTGCACTGCTGCAATCTTGAGGACAGGTAATCTGCTCTGATCTTACCTCTTTTTGTGAATGTTAGTAGAACGGCTTCTGTCTGTCTCAGAGATATTTTTAGCTTTTATTGTGCTGGGACGTTATTGTGGCAACAGATGAACACAGAAGACGTGTTTTGGTCGACATCATCCGTCTTTTAACCGAAATAATTCCAGATAACTGACTTTCCTTTTCTTTTTGGCAACAAATCTTCATTTTCGGTGGTTTTCGCTTGTTCGTTGTTCATTTTGCGATCGTTGTTGTTGTTGTTAGCGGTGTTGTGCCGAGAAACGCATGTCCTCCGAGAATTGCATGCACCTCGCAAAACGCGCACCGCTTATAGTAGAGTGGTCCACAGAAATGTACAATTTAAAACCCATACAGTTCTTATTTGTTGGGCTTAATAGTCATGAGTAAAGTTCCGAAAGTAATTCTCAGCGGACACACGTCTCCCTCCATGTGCAGAACATGTGCAGGGGTGGGTTTTCTCCTCCCTGATTTTGATTGACAGCTGGCAGGGTAGTCTGATTGGCAACTGAGAAGTGAGTCTGATTGGCAACTGAGTTAAGGACGAAGGCGATTGGTGGATCGCTGCACAGCACATGCAGAGTCACATGGAGTGTATCTCAGTCGGTTACCCTTGAAATTAAATGAGTTCATTCACCTCCAATATCGCGATGTGACTATCGCACACACGTACATCGCGATGACGATAGTCAAACGATATATCGTTCAGGCCTATTGTCAGCCATGATGTTTTTTTCTTATTGGTGTTTCTAAACATGACAATATTTTTGTTTGTGAGTACTTTCCTAAATGAAAAGAGAGGTTGGGATTTACAAATCTTTACAAATGGATGTATGGCCTCATTCTTTGAACCGATTTGCCATGATGTCCTTTTTAGAGTGGAAGTCTAAAAATGACACCAAAAGTCATCCTTCATCAGAGCGTAAACAAATGCTCTGATGAAGGCCCTGTGCCTTTGGTGTTTGTTTTTTGTGATGTAGGCCACATAAAACAAGTAAAATATCAATTTTTTTGTCCTCCATGAACTGGAACGTGAGATGTGCTGCCCCTTCTGGAATCCTTCAAACTATTTTTGAACTTTAGCTAAGCAGTCTACAGATGTTTTCATTGATGTAAAGCGCAAAACCCCCCTCCCTTCAACGGCCATAAAAGTGTTAGCCACACATTCTCTGTTATGACTAGGAAGTAAGGAAAGATCTGATAGCAAAATAAAAACTCAGTTTCAATTTTAGTCTTCTTACCAGCTGTTGGAGAGAAGGTGTAAAGGAGAGAGACGCATCACTTACAATACCAAGATATGTAGTATGTACTCAAAGCAGGGATTGGAGGCAGAGTTGGACGCTTGCATTTTACATTTGAACAAAGCTTGTCTGTGTTCAGTACAAGTTTTAAGTCATTTAAACTGCATTGAACCACCTTTGGGGGGGGGGGGGGCAGCTCGCAAAAAGTTGAGAACCCCTGCACTAAAGTGTTCTTCTTTCATTAATTTATCTGCGATCCATGCTGTGTTCCGAGCAGCAATTGAACTACAGGTGCATTTATTCCAGCAATTTCATTTACAATACTGTATATGCCATAGGCTCATAACATGCAACTCAAGATATTTTAAGCCTTCATTTGATATAATTTTGATGAGTATGGCTTACAGCTTATTAAAACCTCGAATTGAAAATCTTAGAAAATTAGAATATTACAGACAATTAATAGAAAGAGGACTTCGAATAGAGAAATACTGGCCCTCTGAAAAGTTTCATCTTGCATACTTTGTACTTGGTTTGGCCCTCTTTTGCATGAATTACTGCCTCAATGCGGCGTGGCATAGATGCTATCAGCCTGTGGCACTGCATAGGTGTGAAGGAAGACCAGGATGCTTCAGTAGCAGCCTTCAGCTCTGCTGCATTGTTCAGTCTCATGTCCTCATCTATTTTTGGAAATGCCCCATAAATTCTCTATGGGGTTCAGGTCTGGCGAGTTTGCTGGCCAGTCAAGCACCGTTATCCGATGGTCATTTAACCAGGTTTTGGTACTTTTGGCAGTGTCAGCAGGTGCCATATCCTTTGGAAAATGAAGTCAGCATCTCATTGAAGTTTATCCGTTGAAGGAACCATGAAGTGTTTCAAAATCTCATGATAGACAGCTGCGTTGACTCTGAAATTATGAAAGCACAGTGGACCAACACCAGCAGATGACATGGCTCCCCAAACCAACACAGACTGAGGAAACTTCACCCTGGACTTGAAGCATCTTTGACTGAGTGCTTCTCCATTCATCCTCCACACTCTGAGACCTTGGTTTAGGACCTTCTCTCGATGTACTAACTTCAGCCTCGGTCCACTCCTTGTGACATTCCCCCACACTTTTGAGAGACTCTGGTCATCCCTGTGGCTTTTGCACTTTTTTCTTCCACACTTTTCCCTTCCAGATAACTTTCTATTACTGTGCTTTGATACAACACTTTGAGAAGGGTGTCAATGATTGTTTTCTGCACAACTGTCAGCTCAGCAGCCTTCCCCATTATTGTGAATCCTACTAAACTAGACTGAGAGATCATTGAAAGCCTCAGGAACCCTTTACAGGTGTTTTGGGTTGATTAGCTGATGAGTGTGTGATACTTTGAGCCTATGCTATTGAACCTTTTCACAACATTCTAGTTTTCTGAAATTTGGGGTTTTCAAAAGCTGAAAGCCATGATAATCAAGATTATAACAAATAAATTTGCAGGAATGTTTTCAGTTATTGCGGATGAAACCAGAGATGGAAACACAGAACAGTGTGTTGTGCAGGCTTATGATGGTACGGCTGTGATGAGTGGTGCAGTCGGAGGGGTCCAAGCCAAATTCAGAGTCAAGCATCCAGAGACCATTCAAGTGCACCGCTATGCACATCTACTTAACTTAGTGCTGTGTCATACCTGTTAAGCAAGACCAGAGGCCAAAGACTTCTTTGACCTGCCGCAGAGTGTAAACTCATTTTTTACTGTTTCTTTCATACACCATCACAGATTTAGAGGTGCTGAAGCAGCTGGGTTTGCAGCCATCTGAACTTGTATAGTTGTCAAAAACCCCTTAGTCTTGCCAGTTGCAATCCATGAATGCCATCTTACAGAACTTCCCTGCTGTTCTTCAGTGCCTCTCTGACACTATTACCTCCAAAGCAGTGGGACCAGATTTGCCCCAGTATACCTGTTGATAATGTCCAAGGTCCTTTTTGTCTGTAACCAAGAACTTGCATAAATATTTGACCTGTTTTTACCTTGCCTTGACAGGATGGTTGCAGAGATGGATGAACATTTTTCATCTCCTAATGGCCAAATTCTCAGAGGTGTTCAGGCCTGTAACCCTATATCAGACAACTTTCTCTGTGAGAAGCACCTCAGTGGTCTTGCTGATCATAACAATATTGGTCTGAAACCAGAGGTTTCAGTGGAAAAAAACTATCTAGCCTCCAAATGAGAAAGCCTTGCAAACAAGGGTATGCAGTGTGTTTTCAGCTTGCTGGATAACATCATGTTCCCAACACTGACACAGGTCATTCAGATCTCCCTAACAATCCCAGTCAATAGCTGTAGCTGTAAAAGGTCATCCAGTGTGTTGAGACGGCTCCACACTTGGCTGAGGAGCACAATGAGGCAAAACCGGCTTCACCATCTCGCTGTCAGAAAAAAGACCTTTCAAAGCTGAGTCACGGTCCGGTGATTAAACGATTATCAAAAATAAAAAGTAGGCGTTATGCTTTGATGCTTCAATAAGTCCTGACCTGCCATTGAATATGTCTTATATGCTTTTGCTAGTGTGTATATAATTGTTAAAAGTTCAGACATTTATGAATATCTTAAGTGGTAGTTTTAGTAAGAGTGTGGCAGTGGGATGTGTGTGTGTGTGTGTGTGTGTGTGTGTGTGTGTGTGTGTGTGTGTGTGTGTGTGTGTGTGTGTGTGTGTGTGTGTAAAGGGGAGGGGGGATATAGTAAGGGGCCTGTGCCCCAATAGAGTTTTATGCCTAGCAATGCCCCTGGTCTACCCTTAAGGGTTTATTCCTGAAATGTGTTATTTATCTTTTCTTTGTAAGTGTAAGTGCAACTAGATATGTTTCCAGTAGCCAAACCGTATCCTCACATTCAGTGTTAGTGTGGATCAAGTAGCATTATTAGTAGTATTAGACTTCATATGGAGTTATGTCTTAAAAAATCCTATGAAGGGGCAAACTACAGTTCCACTAGAAGGCAAGTTGCAATTTTGTTGAAAGACTGATGAAAATACACATAAGACAGAGGGGTTGCTGGTAGAGCTCATGCAATGTTATTCCATTCATTCTGGCTCTCCTGTTTCTGCTTGCCTCAAGCCTGGCCCACTAACACTGGATGAGATGGAGATGACTCTTAAAATAGAGAGGGGAGAATATGGAGTATGAATTTGCATTACCCTTAGAGAGTAACAAAGATGTAGAAAGAAAAGTGAAAACAGGGGAGGAGCTGTGTGGCAGTTTGGCCCCTTAGGGGGTAAAAATTCTGTTAGCATCTAGGCCACAGAGCAAGGACATTTCTCCTTTCAAATGATGGACAGACCCCATTGGCAAGGCAAGATGAATTTGACTGCTTCATCGAATTTCAACAATGTCCCCTCTGCTGTGATAAAGAGAGAGATGGAGGGGTCTTATATTTCTATATACAATTTTAACATTCAAGATATTAGTAATACTTCTCTATAACAAGGAGTCCTCCTGTGTTTACACTGTCATCATTTTTTTAAGTCTGTACTTGAGTGTTAAATAGCTGTCCTTAAAAAGTCTCCTTTTTTGTATCAAAACTGAAAAAAAGTGCTTTTACATAACATGTCCCATTAGTAATTTTTAAACACCTGCTTTTGAAAATTGGATAATTTGAGAGCATATAGTAGGTAAAAAAAATGAAAATAATCATAAAATGATTTGAAAGAGAAAAACTAAAAGCAATAAATACAGAAACTCAAAGGATGGGTCAGTAACAGCATATTACCCTACAAATGTTGCCCAATAACAGCTCTAATCCTGAGATCCTGCCAGTACTCAAAAAAGTGCAGCTGTTGTGACAATGATAGTGTTCAACATCAATTTTAATCTAAGATGGCGAATATTTGTGTTTGTCCAAATGTAGATTAGGATTATTAGCTTTGAATAAAGCGCCACATGACTGCTTGATTTTGAAAGTGGAAATCTGGAATCTGGAAAAACACTTCTGAGACATATAAACCTATGTGTGACATGACAAGTCTTCAACAGTAAAATTCAAGACTTTTTGGGTATTGACTTGTATTATTACATTAAAAGGATTAACAAATAAAAGAAATGTGCTAACAAAGCCAAAATGCTACCCCAGCTTTGTGTTCTTCTTTATGAATTACTTCTTTCCCGGTCTAGATGAATTACATGACTTTAGCCACACAAGGTATGATTTCTTTTTTATTTTTAAGGAATTACAGCCTACGAGTTTCAGGTGTTTTTAGTGGGTAAGTTGTTAGATCCGACAGGGTGAGCAGGATCCTAATTCAATGCAGTCTTGTCTCATCTCCATTTAAGCCTGTCAACAATTTCTTTTACCTCAAGTACCTGAAAAAGATTCTTTGTGTGCACTGAATCTGTGGACAAAGTGCTCCACTTATCTCTTTACTGATCTTGTCCTGTGGAGGCAGTACTTTCTTTCAAAATTTTGATCCTTCTATAGAAGCAATGCATCACCTTTTGTCAATAAATGTTTTTGGGATGTTAAAGACAGGACGTTTCTTCAGCATTACCGTATAAAAAATAAAAACAAACAAATAACAGAAGCACTATCCCTATTCCTGATTGGTTGGTTTGCTTTTCAAGGTCCTTAATAGGCATAAATATGAACTTCAGCCAGTCTCAAAGTTAAACACCCCTCTCAGGATCTTTAACCAGCAGTTCAAGACAACTAAAGCTCATACCATGATAGGGTTTGGATTTGCTCCATTTGTCATTTGTCTCCATTTTGGCCCATGTCCATTTTGTGTCTTTGAGCTTTCTTTGCTGTTTCTGCACTATTTACCTCCTCCTCTTGTTTTACCGTCCTTTCCAAGTGACTGGCCAGCCATAAACTACAAATATCCAGTTTTGTGCTTTCTGAGTAGGTCATATTTATATAAAATATACTCCATGTTTTATTGTGGTACAGTCCAATGAAGTGCTCTGCTGCTATACATCGCTCAGTGACATATGTCTTGACATCCTTCATGCAAAAATCGGAAAAGCTCATTCAGCAGATTTTAATTGTATTTCAACTTTGAAGTCCTAGTAAAAGAAATCTAGATTTCAAAAAAGTTTCACCTTTTCAGCAAAGGTGATATAGATTGCCCAAACACTCAAAAACTTGACAATGTCTAGCATCAGTGGTGCAGAAACATTTTTGCAGCTTCACAACACCCCTGTTGTGAGGCCACAAAATAATATCTGTTCCGTAGAGAATGCTCTGTGTTTTCACTAAGTGCCCTGTTCTGTCCAGGAAACACATCTTTTGCTCTACAGAGCACCGCTCGGTCAGCTGAGACTGATGGGTAAACAGAACATGAATAACATCATGCCCTGTCACTCTGTGAAGTCAAACCTAAGCTTTCAATAATAGAGGAAGGTTCATGCAATATTCGCATTACTGTAAAATCAGATGAGCATGGAGCCCTAGTGGCAAATGTTGCTTAATCTCTGGAACAGCTGCTTGGGATGTGACCTCTGAAAAATGGGTCACAACACTGACACATGGTAAAAAATATCATGACCTTCACTTGTTGAAATCATGCCTGTATACAGTTAATGTTTCAGATTTACATGGGAAACATACAATGAAACTCATGCAGATGACAAATCTAATGAGGAAATGAATTTTTATTCATTTTAATATGAGAAACTAGAAAAAAAAAAGGACATGAAAAAAATCCTTCTTCCCGTAGACTAAAAGTGCATCTTATATAGACGTGTGACAGCATGAGAAATATTAAGTAGCCAGTATGGCAGTGTAATTATGTTAGACAGTATACTGGGGTGTAGCTCAAGGCTATTTTTCTGTGTTGTTTCTCTCTAGATCTAATTACGATATCTGGGTCAATTTTCTCAAACCTCTTCTTTTTCTGCCTTCTTTCTGCAAAGTGATTGGTACAATTTTGGCTGTGATCAATCAATCAATCAATCAATGTATCAATCAACCAATCAACTTTTTATTTTTATAGTGCCAAATCACAAAAAATTGTTATCTCAAGATACTTTCCAAATGAGCAGGTCTGGACCAAACTCATTGTTTGATGTATTACAAAGGCCCGACCTTAAGAAGAGGTATGATTCGACCTATTTAGAAACACAGTATAAGACCCATTCTTAACCCGTCTTGTAGAGCCAGACGATTAATTGTATTTCACTCTTGATTTCAATTTTGGCTTCTCATGATCATATGAACATTATAATCAAAGAAAAGCCATTAATGCGCCGCACTGCGCAGTGTGTATTTAAGTTCCTGTACTGGAAAAACACTATGAATGCACCCCTGTTACGTACAGCTGGAGCAAGCATGTGATGCTTGTGGACCAATAATATGAGTAGTGAACAATTGAAAACATGGCAGAAAGGCAGCTTTTGGGTGAGAAGAAAGGTAGGACAACTTCAGTCATCTGGAAATATTTTGGCTTCAAGTTGACAGACATTGAGCAAATGGAAATTGTTTGCAAAGTTTGTCATGCTGTCGTGTCTGCTCCAACTTCCAACTTCAGGGTTTCCCTCATATGCAATTGATTGTGGCGCATGGCTAAATAAAAGCTCCCACACCTTAAAATATAGCATGTGTGCGTGCACATGGGTGCTGCACTGTGGAGCACGAGTGGTGAGTATTTGCATTAGCAAGTTATCGTCAGCAATCACACAACCATTTTGCCATAATCATCAAGCCCTACCATCTTGAACCAACATGAGTGAAGCACTTTGCAGTAATCTTAATTGTCCACCAACCTGCCATGTCTACAATTTCTTAAGAATATGCCCCATTTTGCAAACCACAGAAAACTTGCAGTTCCATAAGTCCTGGGTCTCATAGATGCTTCTTGATTTGAGATTGATTTTTGTTTGTCTTTTTTCTTCTTCTTTGTGCATCTTAATTGTCAAGATTGATAAAAGTTGCTTGCTACGGAGCTTTAAATTCTGTAATTTGACCATAAAACATTTCATGTAGAATTACAGAATAAGCATTTTATGTCTATCAAAGGAAAGAGAACAAAAAAAGATTAAAATGAATGACATGCAAGGCGGTATGCTGACAACTTCAGTCTTAACTGCTCCAATGGGCTAAATAGAAGACAAGCAACTGCCTTTTCGAGTTATTGAGAAGGTGATGTTATGCAGAGACTTGACGTACTGGGAAAAATATCAGGTCAAATACAGAGTTGGTGAACACACCACAAATGTGGATTGTCAATTTTTAGAGTGTAGCATTTTTAGAAAATTCAGTGTCTTAAGTTTGTATAGAGCAGAAATTAGACCAAGCTTCCAGCATGTGAGGGATTAGTGAGGTCTCTCTTTCAAACTGTCAAATTCTTGGCTCCCGATACTAACCTGTCACACCTGTGAGGTGGGGTTTAAAGGGATGTGTGGAAGACTGCCAGTATTGCAGTCTTCTGCCACTAAAGAAAAACCCAGCAATGGCAAACTTTCCCTCTCACATTAATATTGCTTTGAGAGGTGGTCAGCTCTATATCTAAAGGTCAGGGATTTGATCCCAGATTTTGCTGTCTACATGTTGAAGTGGCTTATAGCAAGGTACTTCACCTCAAACCTCCCCTGGTTTTGTACCATAAATGTGTAAATTGGATTTGTTAATATGAATGGAATCTACACTCACTGGCCACTTTATTAGGTACACCTGTCCAACTGCTCGTTAACACTTAATTTCTAATCAGCCAATCACATGGCGGCAACTTAGTGCATTTAGGCATGTAGACATGGTCAAGACAATCTCCTGCAGTTCAAACCGAGCATCAGTATGGGGAAGAAAGGTGATTTGAGTGACTTTGAACGTGGCATGGTTGTTGGTGCCAGAAGGGCTGGTCTGAATATTTCAGAAACTGCTGATCTACTGGGATTTTCACGCACAACCATCTCTAGGGTTTACAGAGAATGGTCCGAAAAAGAAAAAATATCCAGTGAGCGGCAGTTCTGTGGGCGGAAATGCCTTGTTGATGCCAGAGGTCAGAGGAGAATGGCCAGACTGGTTCGAGCTGATAGAAAGGCAACAGTGACTCAAATAACCACCCGTTACAACCAAGGTAGGCAGAAGAGCATCTCTGAACGCACAGTACGTCGAACTTTGAGGCAGATGGGCTACAGCAGCAGAAGACCACGCCGGGTGCCACTCCTTTCAGCTAAGAACAGGAAACTGAGGCTACAATTTGCACAAGCTCATCGAAATTGGACAATAGAAGATTGGAAAAACGTTGCCTGATCTGATGAGTCTCGATTTCTGCTGCGACATTCGGATGGTAGGGTCAGAATTTGGCGTCAACAACATGAAAGCATGGATCCATCCTGCCTTGTATCAACGGTTCAGGCTGGTGGTGGTGGTGTCATGGTGTGGGGAATATTTTCTTGGCACTCTTCGGGCCCCTTGGTACCAATTGAGCATCGTTGCAACGCCACAGCCTACCTGAGTATTGTTGCTGACCATGTCCATCCCTTTATGACCACAATGTACCCAACTTCTGATGGCTACTTTCAGCAGGATAATGCGCCATGTCATAAAGCTGGAATCATCTCAGACTGGTTTCTTGAACATGACAATGAGTTCACTGTACTCAAATGGCCTCCACAGTCACCAGATCTCAATCCAATAGAGCATCTTTGGGATGTGGTGGAACGGGAGATTCGCATCATGAATGTGCAGCCGACAAATCTGCGGCAACTGTGTGATGCCATCATGTCAATATGGACCAAGCTCTCTGAGGAATGCTTCCAGCACCTTGTTGAATCTATGCCACGAAGAATTGAGGCAGTTCTGAAGGCAAAAGGGGGTCCAACCCGTTACTAGTATGGTGTACCTAATTAAGTGGCCGGTGAGTGTATATCTTAACTGTAATATAATACAGTATCATTCAAAGCACTTTGAGCCATCAAAAGAAACCGCTAGATAAACAAGTTCAAATTCATCATTGATAAATGTGTCATACTGTTGATAATGGCTGTATTGGCCTTCCATAACTCAGTATGTGATGAAATCAAGGAACTATAGGACTGTGAAAGAGTGCCTGCCTTAAAGCTATCATTTATCTACTAGTTTGATCTACTACAGTTCAGCCAACATCAATACCACTGTTCACGCAGAACAACAATAAATCTAATAACCAACTTCATATGTGAGCACCTGGGTACACAATTATATGGAACATATTAAGTTATTGCCGGAACTTCAGTTCCAATGTTAAGAACCTTTAGGAACAAAAAAAGATGGTAGAATTATTTCCTTCACAACTTTATAATGATCTCTGTAGGACAAAAAAAATAGATAAAAAATGAAAGCAAACTGGCAGCTTTGCAGCAACTACTCATGTATAAAAAAACTCTACCAAGATAGTGTTCTGTAACAGCCATATAACTCAGCATGATATACAATTGTTTAATGACAACGACACTTCCAACTCTTTCTGTACATATGCTGTAAGTATAGCAGTTTAACAGTTAACATTGTTGGGGAGCCCAAGTCTCAAAAATGGGTAGAACCTGATTTGTGTTTTTTCTGTTAATTCTGACCCTAAGAACCCATAATTAGAGGGTCTGCTCTACCGGAAACATTGCAGGAAAAAAAAAAAGAAAAGAAAAGAAATTGTGGCCATTTCACTGTATGTATCCTTCATTTTTTGATGGAAAATTTAGCAAAATGCTTAAATCCTCAGTGGGTTGGGTAAGCTGTCAATAAATGCATTCCAGGTGCACAGAACCCACCCTGCCAGCATGTGTTGGCTCAAGGGGCTAAAGGCAGTAAGAGCACCTGACTGATGTGCCACTAAGAACTGCAATGCAAGCACTGAAAAGCTACCACCCACACCTTTACCAAACCCTCCCTACCTTTAGCATCAATGCTCGATAGTCCACAATTGTAGCCCCACAGCAGGCATGTTCACAGCCCCTGCATGCTCAGCACATGATTTGCTAGGTGCCCTGGTGTAAGCAATGAGCTTGCAATAAAAGAGTAGAACTTTCAAGTTGATCAGTCTTTTCATCAACAAGAAAAACTTCAAATGAGGAGGCAGAAAAGTTAACATGATTATGTTGTCAATGTTTTAGTGGTGGTATTTTCAGGAGGAGACTATAGAGTATTGCTGAAGTGTAAACTAGAGAAGAAGTTCGGTCTCCAGTGGAAGTTTGGTGCCACTACAGTTAAGCCTGATGGCTGTTGGTACAAAAGATCTTCTAAATCTTTCTGTCCCGCAGCGAAGAGAGAGGAGCCGTCCACCACCATTTGCCCTTTGGTCCATCAAGGTGTTATGAAGTGGGTGATCCATGTTCTTGAGAATAGTCTCCACCTTCCTCAGTGTAGATCTCTCCACCACATCCTCCACTGAGTCCAGCTTGAGTCCAACCACAGAGCCAGCCTTTTTCACCAGTTTGTTAAGACGTCTTGTATCTTTGTGTTTGATGCTTCCTCCCCAGCAGACTGCAGCGTAGAACAGCACACTTGCCACCACAGACTGATAAAACATCTGCAGCATCTTACTACAGATGTCTATTGAACGGAGTCTTCTCAGGCAAAAGAGGCAGCACTGCCCCTTTCTGTAGATTAAGTCTATATTCTTAGACCAGTCCAACCTATTATCCAGATGTACACCTAGGTATTTATATGATGTCACCACTTTGATGTCCACTCCACAGGTGTTCACTGGCTGAAGAGGGGGTTTGGATCTATGGAAGTCTATGACCATCTCCTTTGTCTTTGAGGTGTTGAGGAGGAGGCAGTTTTTGTGACTCCAGTCACTGAAGGCTCTGATTAGATCTCTGTATTCAGCTTCTTGTCCATTTCTGATACATGCCACAATAGCAGTGTCATCTGAGTATTTCTGGATGTGGCAGGACTCAGTACTGTATTTGAAGTCAGAACTATCCCCTGTGGAGCCCCTGTACTGCTTATTAATGTCCCAGAAACACAGTTCCCCAGCCTGACAAACTGTGGCCTTCCTGTCAGGTAATCTGTGATCCAGGAAACACAGGAAGGATCAACTCCCATCTCTGTGAGCTTGTCTTTGAGTATGGTGGGTTGGATGGTGTTGAATGCACTTGAAACGTCGAAGAACATGATCCTCACATAAACCCCAGGTTCCTCCAGATGAGACAGGGCACGGTGAAGCTTGTAGAGGACAGCATCATCCACTCCAATGTGTTCTTTGTATGCAAACTGCAGGGAGTCCAGTTTGTCTCTGACCTCAGACCTCGGAAGGCGTAGAATCAGCTGCTCCAGGGTTTTCATGATGTGTGAAGTGAGGGCCACTGGTCTGTAGTCACTGAGTTCAGCAGGACATTTTGTTTTTGGTACTGGCACAATGCAGGATGTTTTCCACAGAGCAGGTACCCGCCCCAGCAGTAGACTCAGGTTGAAGATCTTGTGGAGAGGTTGACACAGTTCTGCAGCACAGTCTCGAAGCAGCCTTGGACACACACCATCTGGACCAGCTGCCTTCCCAGGACAAAGTCTTCCAAGCTCCATCCTCACCCCTGTTTCGGTGACAGACAAGGACTGGTGTTCTAGGAGGGAGGCAGTTGAAGTGGTTGAGACATTTGAACAAGATGGGCAGAGAGTTGACATTTCCCATGATGATTGATGGAAGAAAGGGTTTATATCGCCACCTCCTAGCATTCAGCTTTGCCTTCACCTTTGCACCAGCACGGCAACCACGATAACACCTCCTGATATCCTCTGGAATTGTATGTTGTTGCCCAGATTTGCTTTTCCTTGAATGAAAGGAGCTCTTCTCTTGAGTAAACTCTTCGCCCAGCAGAAGTATCCATCAGCAGCCAACAAAATTACGACAAAAATATGAAAAAAATCTAGCATAAATTACAAAAATTACAGATAATACAGAGAGACCAGACTTGCAGCAACCACTCGGTTCAAGCAAATCATTTGGAAAAAAAAAAAAAACTTTTACTGTAACTGTAATTACCTAAAAATAAACATAATTCAAGATTATAAAAAAATAACCGATTAAATTTAAACCTATTAACCCAAACAAAGCGCTGTTGTATAACTTACTGGACCACAGGACTACTGTGCCACCACGCCCAGCTTAGCGTGTCTTGGTGCGCCTCAGTCTACAAAAATACAAAAGTGGCTGCATGCCAAGTTGTGCTGCACTAAAATTCCACTGTGTGGGGTGCACCACCCTGCACCACGACACTGGCAGGCATGAAAATAGGACCGAAATAGTAACTATTGGAGTGTTTCGAATGTCTCACCCTGGGGCACTGGCTTCTTTATTTTTGTAAAGGGACTAGTGCCTCATTGCATTTGCCCTGTGGCCCTAATTATTTGAAACCCATGAAGAATCTCATCATAATGTACACATCCCGGCAGTAGCCCCTGTGGTCTTTTCAAAATTTTTCCAGAGAAAATTTTCTAGTTAAAACTGCTAATTCTGGCAGTTGTGGCACAGGATGTGGACCTGTTTATCTGCTGGTGATGAGGTCCTGTGGTTTTCATTACAACTGTGCAAACCAAAACTACGTAAAGACATTTCCAAATATGTAACACCATAGACTGTATTTAGAACATAATAATGCATTATAATATTTTTACTTAAGACTAGATTTATTCATACTATATACAGTCTATGTGTAACACTCAATAAAAACCTAGCATACGTTAAAAACAAGGCAGAGTGAGGTATTTTAGTCTTGAAACAGCTGTTACAATGCTCATCCACTAGGATTGGCCACTAATTACAGTACACTGATAGGGGATAAGGAGTAGGTGAATATATATCTGTGAAGCCACAGACCATAAAGGAGTTTTGGCAGACATGAGTAGGAGTTGTGTGAATCTGTGCTCGATTGCTCTTCCTCATGGACATGGATGATGTAATGGCTGTGCCACACTGGACTGAAATGAAAACTGAATCTGAATTGTGCAAACTGAAATTGAATATTTTATTTTTATATTTAAGGAAGATAGAGAGTTGAATTTTTCCTGTAGGTTAAAATATAATTCAAAAGCAGATAAATTCACTTTCAAAATAAATTTCAATTGCAAATCAAATAAATTCAGCTTTAAAACATTCATTTCAATTTCAGATCCTGCTTTTCAAATTAAATATATTTATTCAATTTCAGTTTCTAGTGGCACAAAAATCAGCCAATGAGGTATGGCATATTTACACAGACGTTAATATGCTATAAGAGCAGGCTAAAGATTACCACACACAATAAAGGAAGTTTTGAAAAGGTCACTGGCACTTGAATATGTATTACAAAATTATTTTCCCTTCTTAATTCTGTCTTGTCAAAACCTCTTAACAACAGCAATTAATTCTCAAAAGCAACACCAGGGACAACTTCACCACACATGTATCAAATCTATCCACGGGGAGTAGTCCAACACATTTTACCTTTCCACTATTACACTATGGCAAAAACAGAAGTTTCTGTCAGCATCCTATTTATTGACACCACGGCAAACATATCTCAGGCTGCTCTTGATAGTCAGGAAATAAAGATGCTTGTGGGAGAGATATGGAAACAGCCTGGCTATGAGTGCAAAGGAGATGTAGCAGAGTCTCAAGCGGTTGGATATAGACCAATTTACAGCCTACTTCATCAAGAATCAGCGCGTCAATAAGCCTAATATTTTGCCCAAGCCACTCAAATGACCAAGCAAGCACGACAAGCGTCCTGCTTCGACCCATCGGTGACGATCAGTCACTATAGAGAGAGATGCTCACACACCGTGGATCCTTCACAACGTTATGTACATGCGCGCACACACACACAGAGCAGCAATCTGATGTACACATCAGTATTAACAGTATAAACTTCATCACCAGAGTCTCCCTCATTAACACACCTGTTCCTCCCTTCTGCTTTACAACGAACTGCAAAAAAACTGGACTCACACCACCACTTTTTTTCTGGTACTTAAATTGTGTATATTGTATGTAGTTTTATTTTTCTTTTCTTTTCCCTTTTCCCTTTTCTATATCTTTTCTTTTATGCTGTGACAAAAAAATTCCCCCCATGGGGGATCAATAAAGGAATATTCAATAAAGGAATATTCTATTCTGTCTCCACTCATCCACACAGACACACCTGTGTTCACCAAGCTACAGCTTTCACAGCAGCTCATTACACCACACCACTGCTTAACGAGTTCACCACTGAGTTCAGCACTGTGCTAGCTTAAGATACTGAACTCTAATTACATGCCAGCCAGTGGCGCAGGGTAGCGCACCTTGCACAGTAGTAGTGAAGTGTGGCGCAGCCCCATGCACAGCCACTTTGGTAAAATTCATAGACTAAGCGCACCGAGATTTACCAATTTGGGTGTGGTGGCGCAGTAGAGGGAGGTGTGGACAGAATCAGCTGTCACCTTGACAATTTGGTGCCCGTTAGTGACACAGAGGGTGCACTGAAAGCTCACAGAATCCAAGCTGGCAGGTAGAGTGCAGCTGGTCAAGTAGAAAATTTGTGTCATGATTACTCTGTGTGGACTCGGCTTTTGTATGTGTAGTCTCTCTACCCCTTTACAGAGGTTGGGCAGCTCCTAATCAGCACTGGCTCCTCCTGCACATTCACACCTGCACCCGATCATGTCATCACCACCTGCTTTTAAGTTCTGCCTGGAAGACTGCAGATCGCCAGGGGCCTCATGTATCAACACTTGCGTGGGACTCATACCAGAAACGAGCGCACGCAAGGTCCGTCACGCTGAAAAAAATCCGTATGTATCAAGGTGTGCGGGCGCCGAAAGCCACGTGTGTTTCCTTGATAAATCCCAATCAGCTTGGAATTGAGCGCAGATATCGGAGTGACCGGGCCCGCCCCCGTTATGCCCTCCTATAAATATGCAGATTTATTTAAATAGGGTCTCCCTGTCCTCGCACGCAGACAAAATGACAAGAAAAAAGGAAATTTACGGCATGCGAGGTGGAGGTGCTGGTGGCGGAGGTGGAGGAGCGACAGCGTGTTTTGTTTGGCAGCCTGTCCAGTGGCGTCAGTGCAAAACGAAAACGCTTGGAGTGGGAGAAAGTTTGCGAGAGGGTGAACGCGGTGGGTTCCGAGACACGCACCCCCGCGGAGATTTAAAAAAAAAACAGCGGCATTCGGGCCACCCCGGCCCCAGCACCAGCATCAGCACCAGCGCGCCGACAATCGGTGGAGCGTCCACCAGCCGCGGCGCTTCCGCTGGACCACCCGGACGCAGTGGAAGGGTCCTCATGGAGGCGGTCCTGTAATCGCAGGAAGAAATCATCAGGGGGATCGCGGGGATCAACGAGCGGCTGGACCGGCTCGTAAATGTCCTTGAGCGTCTGGTGGCGAAAATAAATTAATTTGGCTCATTGAACTGTGTATTCACTTCTTACCCATTCACACTGTGGCGATGAGATTCTCCCGCGCGAGGACGGCGGCCCGGCAGGGATCAGCTCTCATCCCTCCGTCTGCTGCTGGTTCGTCATTTGGGGCGACGTGCTGCTCGGCCACGGGGATGTGGTGCACGCTTGTCACATAGTGAGTCACCAAACACCGCCACACAGCGTCGCCAAAGTGCCGTCAATGCAAGTATCGGCCAACTTCTACACCACCTCCTCACTTTGCGTTGATTAGCGCTGGAACCGACGCTCATGTCGCGATGATAAATCTGGACGTGTGCGCCGATCTTGGCGGACGCAAGGTTTTCTGGCGCCGCCAGCGTTGATACATGAGGCCCCTGAGGATTCCAGCTTTCTTAGTGTCTTGGCTAGTGTCTCGGTATCTTGGCCAGTCTCTTGTAAAGAGATTGTGACTGATTAATCTTTACCTGTGTTTGAGAAGTATCTGTGACTTACCTCCACTTTCCTCCTTTTCTCCTCCAGTGTCTCCGCTCACCACCAGCATTGCCCAACCTCTGCCTCGACTGCCACACTCTCTCACAAGCCCTCACTCTGCCTCCCCACTCCTCACCACAGATCTCCTTCACTACATGGACCTCGGAGCTCCCGTCCATATCTGTCTAGTCTTCAATAAAATATCTTAAAGCTGCCAACTGCCTCCATTACCTGAGGCAAAAATCCTCACAATTTGTAGACCACGGAGCAGTATGCACATGTCACCAATACCTAACAGGCAGGTTTCCAGTGTCAGGCACATTTTAGTGCAATAAATAATCAACGAAAACCGATATTCAGTGCACCTCTCAGAGACAGCACATACATTAAGCTTTATATCGATATAAACTGATCTATATCTGATCTGATGGCTGAGCATGTACATTTGGCAAATGTAATGGATACTCACCCTGACCTAACTAATACAGCTGAAACTGCATTAAATTAAATATCCAATAAATAGTTACACGATGATGATGATGATGATGATGATGATAATAATAATAATAATAAAAATAATAATAATAATAATAATAACAAAAATAATAATAGTAATGCACCAGATTTTTATAGCACTGTATCAGAGACCCTCAAAGCGCTTTATATTGGATACAATGTTCATTCTTTCACACAATCACACCCTGGTGGTGGTAAATTAGCGTAGCCGCAGCTGCCCTGGGGAAGACTGACGGAAATGTGGCTGCCAGTTTGCGCCTACGGACTCTCCGACCACCACCACACAACACTCACATTCATACACCAGTGGCGGTGGGGCTGCCAAGGCTGACCAGATAAATTATTTAAGTGATCAAATGAGTGATCCATTTGAAAAATGTGAACTAAACAACAAAAGACACTTTCTTCAAAATAAACCGTTTATCTAAAGTTTTCACATTCCTGTGAGTTAGGCCTCCATGCCAATATTATAATTTTTTAATTGCATGAGCCAAGAACATTTCACTTGCAAACATTCGTGGAACACAAACGCAATGCCGCGGAGCATGGTGCACCCTTTACCCACAGGTGGTTCTGATTTCAAAGCCTTTATGCATAGCAGTTGTTTATGGAGTGATCTGTGCACAGGACCCACTTATGTCACGTAAGATTTAAATATATGCAGTTTGATGTGAGTGTCTTTATTTGTAGTAAAGAATATTTGTCTTACCCCTGGAAACAACCTTGCACACTCCAAATCCCTCTGTGCTTATATGAGGGGGTGTAGAGGATACGACATGGGGGGGGGGGGCACTAGAGGACGTGTTTAGCCCAACACGTTTTGAGGGGCTGCCTCTAGACCCCACTGTCTGGCATTGCTGCTCTCAGTCATCTCCTCGACTACGTCACGGATTTTGCTATATACCTTGCCAGTGACACATTTAAAGGTGAGGAGGGGAGACAATGGCCCTCATTTATCAATTTTGCATAGAACTGAGCGCAGATCTGAGCGCAGGATTCATAGTAGGATAGGACACACGTGGGATTTATGAAAGGGTTCGTATGTGACCAATCTCAGCGTACATATGATCGGGTCTTGATAAATTCGGCGGCTGAAATCGACCGTCATTAACATGTCACGCCCTTAAATATTCGTGGTTCTGAAGCCTCGGCCACTAAGGTCAAACATGAAAGAGTAGAAATATCAGAAAGATTCGAAACTTTTCGAGCTGAAAGCGGATATTCTCGTGTCTGTGGTGGAAACTAACAAGGATTTGCTCTTTGGAAGCATCAAAACTGGTATAAAAGTAGTCCAGAAAACTCCTGTCTGGAGCAGGATTATGGAGGCGGTGAACAGCGCTGCCGCAGAATAGCTGACAGTGGCTGTCAGTTTTAATAGTTTTAATAAATCATTAGTCAATAAGTTGCTCATGATGATAAATTAATATCTCATACATGCCTCATGTTTTTTTATTGCCGTGACATAGCTTTTATGACATTGCTCCTATTATATAAAGTATTTAGTTTTTATTTGTTGCGTCTTTGTAATGTAGAGCGGACTGTAGAGTCTGACAGAAGCTGAAAAAAAATAATTATCACGTTGCACCGGCACAGCCAAGAACACTCCATTCGCTGGTGCAACATTGTGCAAAACTGTACTGGCTCAAATGATGTCCCACACCCTTTCAGGAGTGTACAACAACGTCCCCGCTGCTGGGCCAAGACAGAGACACCTGCCTTTTAGGAGTCAAAAGCAGCGCTCCACAGTGGCGTGTGTGCCCAATGTTAAAACGGTGCTCCTGCTCTGTGGCAGTGTTTCTGCAGAGTTATCAAACAGGCCTATTCACTAAGGACATAACAAATTTAGCTTATTTTGTTTTATTTACGTCTTAATCCTTAATTAAAATTTGGCTGATTGTGCTTAATTACAGTTTTGACGTTTGTATATCAATAATTTTGAGACAGACATTTGCTGCACCGCAGATCCACACTGACTCGAACTTGCGTACACGATGTCAGACCTGTCATGGGATTTGGTCATAGCATGTGCTCATGTGCAGATTGATAAATGCCGATCTGCATGTTGCAACTTTGGACTCGGCTGTGTTATGCCCACTTCATCCCTTCCCCCCTGCATTTTTCCCATTTGCACTACATAAATTAATAATTAATCATCAATTTTGATCGTTTTTTAATGATTTTTTAAATAACAAAAAACAGGTTTTTCCTCATCAAAACTCCCCTGTCACTGTTGTTCATGACTGTGCACTACTTTTTTTACTCATTCATGAAACGCTAAAATCTGGGACTTTTCCAGGGACAACTTTAACTGAGGACAGGCCATCCAAAATGGGGTATGTCCGCTGAAGGGGGAGTACTTGCGCCAGGCTGTGCTGCTCACTAAAATAAAACAAAGTGTGCTTGGGCGTGCCTCATTGGTGTGGCAAACATGACTTATGCTGTGCCTGTGTTACGATGCCGGTGAGGAACAAAAATAGAGCCCTCAATCTTATTTCAGAAATGCTCTGGTCTGGACTGTTCTTACCCCGTTTTTTACACTTATACAAAGACAGCAGTAAGAGAACAACTTTCCCTCTCCATGGGGCAGTCAAAACAGGGACTGCCCACTGAAATCAGGATGTCTGGTCACAAGACACTGCTAACAAGGAGCTAATGGTAGGGTGAGACTGAGAGTACTTGGAGGATTCATTAACCTCAGTTGGATGTATGTGGTTCAGGTGGAACATCTTTGGGATTGTTGTCATGTTGTACTTGTACGTAGCATCGCAGTGTCTGCAGCAAACCTCATCACCTCATGGTCCCACACCACACTTAATCTTGCGTTCCTCATGTTTTTTTCAATATCCTTCCATACGGTGACAGTCACTGCACTGCTTCAACACACACACACACACACACACACACACTGACTGGACAAAGATGGTATCCCTCACGATCAACAGAAGTTGCTCTTTGTTGGAAAGCAGCTAGAGGATGGACACATACTGTCAGCCCTTTTTAAATGAAGTTAGATCTATTGAAATTTTGCATGATCAACGTAATTTTTAATGATCAATCAATCGATTATTTATTAGTTATGCCCATTCTGTGGGGGCAAATGATAGACAATAGATTTGAGAAAAAGAACGTCTGCTTAATTTAAACCAGCCAGCGAGCAAAACATGTTTACAGAAGAAGTCACGTTGTTGTCTATCAGATACAAATGTGAAGGCCACTTATGCGAAGATAAGAACAACTACTGACGTCATTGGAGTGTATAAATTGTTGGGGATTCTTTGGCTGTTGCTGTCCGCCTGATTGTCCTGAGCTGTGGTTGATGCTGTAACTACAATAAATCCCGCAAGAGGCTGCCAGGTTGATTCTGTCTTCTTGTAGTTCATTTTTGCACCTTTGCATCTATAAAATCGACCATAATTCCTGAGAAGAAGGGGGTGTACTGGCACCGAGCTGCACCGCTCACCAAATTAGCAAAGTGTTCTTGGGCATGCACCATCACGCGTTATTTGATTCCTATGTTGTAGGTTTACATTAAAGAACTGGTTTTACATGTATATTTAACATGTTGGAAAGGCAGGTGCAAACTGGCACAAAGTTACACACAAACGGCTGCGGTCAATGACAGGCAACTGAGAGAAATAATCTTCTGTGCATGTGAACATTTTTGGACTGTCAGAAATAAATATAGAAGAGACATATCGTCCATTTAGCAATGCCATCTTTAAGCTGCTGGATGACCTATGGGCTGATTTCTGCTGGTCCCTCACTGGTTTTATTTGCAGAGGTTTTATGAAAGGAAAGTTGTTTTTTTTAATACAGGCTCAATATCAATATTGAACTGTTGGCAGTTGCTCTTCGGCCATATTATGTTCCAAGAGAATTTAGTCATATCATAACAGTAGTTGTTTACATTCCACCCAAATCAACTGAATAATGTTGCGATGTTTTGCAAAATAGTGTTGCCAGGCTACAGACTCAACACCCTGAGGCACTAATATTAATATCGGGAGACTTCAACCATGTCACCCTCTCCTCTCACCTGACTGGATTCACACAGTTTGTGAACTGTCCTACCAGAGAAAACAAAACCCTGGATCTGCTGTATGCCAACGTCAAAGAAGCCTACAGAGCCACTGCCTTACGACCACTGGGCAAGTCAGATCATAACTTGGTCTATCTACAAACCTGTTACAGACCTTGTGTACTGAGGCAGCCGGTGACCAAAGTCAAAATAAGAAGATGGACACCCTAAGCCAGTGAAGCTCTAAGGGACTGTTTTAAATCAACAGACTGGAATGTGCTGCTGGAAACAGATGTTGATAGTATGAACATTGATAAACAGGTTGACTGCTTTACTGATTATGTCAACTTCTGTAGAGACACAGTTATACCCACAAAAACTGTTCGCTGTTTCCCCAACAACAAACCCTGGATTACAAGAGACATAAAAGCAATCCTTAACCAGAAAAAGAAAGCTTTTAAAGATGGTGACAAATGAGTGAAACAAGAGTTGAAGAGGAGACTGAAGATGGCAAAGCTGGAGTACAAAAAGAAGATAGAGAATAATCTACAACACAGCAACATCCGTGAAGTGTGGAGAGAATTCAGTACCATCTCTGGACACAACAGTCAAAAGAAAAGACAGCCAGTGGTGGGTGATGTGAAAGGAGCTGATGAACTCAACCTGTTCTTCAACAGATTTTACACTGCTATCACTCCCACTTCCACTGCTACTCCACCTTCCTCTCCACAACAAAACTCCACTACAACTTCTTCCCTTCCTCCTCCATCTCATTCAAATGTCTCAACCACTTCAATTGCCTCCCTCCTAGAACACCAGTCCTTGTCTGTCACTGAAACAGGGGTGAGGATGGAGCTTGGAAGACTTTGTCCTGGGAAAGCAGCTGGTCCAGATGGTGTGTATCCAAGGCTGCTTAGAGACTGTGCTGCAGAACTGTGTCAGCCTCTTCACAAGATCTTCAACCTCAGTCTACAGCTGGGGCAGGTACCTGCTCTGTGGAAAACATCCTGCATTGTGCCACTACCAAAAACAAAATGTCCTGCTGAACTCAATGACTACAGACCAGTGGCCCTCACTTCACACATCATGGAATCATGGCTGATTCTACGCCTTCTGAGGTCTGAGGTCAAAGACAAACTGGACTCCCTGCAGTTTGCATACAAAGAACACATTGGAGTGGCTAATGCTGTCCTCTACATGCTTCACCGTGCCCTGTCTCATCTGGAGGAACCTGGGGTTTATGTGAGGATCATGTTCTTTGACTTTTCGGGCTCTATTTTCGTGCGCGCCAGTGAGGCGACGGAGGGTGGCGGACCCCGCGCAGTTGTATTTTCGTCTGACAGAGCCCGGTGTACGGCCAGTTTGGTATTTTCGTGGACTGAGCCGCACGGAGGCGAGCCGAGATCCGCCAAGCTGGGCGTTGTGGCGTGGCAGGGGAGGTGTCGACAGAATCAGCGGACGCAGTGACATTTTCGTGCTTGCCACCGGCGTGTAAAGTGCGCTGAAAGCTCGCCGATTCAAACCTGGTCAGCTTTCAGTGCATGGCGGAGCGCAGCTGGTCTAGTAGTATTTTGGTAGACCTGCGGCGTATCGACATACGTCACTGATGCCTCACCGGCAGGTTTCCACAGTGTCAGGCACATTTCAGTGCAATAAATAATCATCAACAACTATTAATCTGAGTCAGCACATACATTTAGATATATATAGATATATTCTGATCTATATCTGATCTGATGAGCGCGTTTGGCACGCGTTTGGACACACAACCTGACCGAATCAACACAGCTGAAACCGCATCAAATTAAATTAAATATCTAGTAAATAAACACAAATGATGAAGTTAACAAGATATGTAATTCGTCTCCCTCCTTTTCTTTCTTCCTCTTCCTCTTATTTCTCGCACAGCTCGACCTGGACACGTCTCCGTGTCCTCTGTCCGTCTTGCTGCTGCTGCGGCTACACAGATGATTTGTTTCAGTGCGCAGATGCGTTTTCTACTTTAAGCCTATATAAGGATATTATAATATTCAGTTTTGTGGGCCAAATTTATATTATATGCCAACATCTATGAAAGAAAGAGCCAGGCCACGGAGCGCGATGCGTCATTTACGCACACATGGTTCCAATTTTAATGCCATTTTTGGAGTTTAGGTTGTGATCTGTGCGCTCAACCCACCTTTGTCACGTGAGGTTTGAATATATGCAACTTTATGTGAGTGTCTTTATTTGTGGAAAATGGTGTTTGTCCTACCAGTGGGTCCAACATTACACACACCAAACCCATCTGTGCTTATATGAGAGAGTGTGGAGGACGCCCAATGCAGCGCTTACAGTGACACTTGTTGAGGAGCTGCCCTCTGTCGCCATCTTGTGGCATTACTGTCTTAAGACATCTCTTGATCTCTTTAACTACTTCATGAAAATAGTAATACGCCTTGCCTGTGGCGGATTTAAAGGCAAGGAGAGGAGCTTATGTGATTGGTGAAAACAGGTCTCGGCTGTGTTAAACCCCCTCTCCGCCCTATCTCCTCCCTCGCTACGACTTAAGCTGCTGGGAGGAGCTGAGTTAGGGAGGGGGGATACTTACGCCGGGCTGCGCGGCTCACCAAAATACCAAAATGTGCTTGGGAATGCCTTGTCAGCGCGGCGGATCTGACTGACGCCACGCTTGCGGCACGTCTCCGGCGAGGCACGAAAATAGAGCCCTTCAAGTGCATTCAACACCATCCAACCTACCATATATAAAGACAAGCTCACAGAGATGGGAGTTGATCCTTCCTGTGTTTCCTGAATCGCAGATTACCTGACAGGAAGGCCACAGTTTGTCAGGCTGGGGAACTGTGTTTCTGGGACATTAATGAGCAGTACAGGGACTCCACAAGGGACAGTGCTGGCGCCATTCCAGTTCACACTGTACACATCAGACTTCAAATACAGTACTGAGTCCTGCCACATCCAGAAATACTCAGATGACACCGCTATTGTGGCATGTATCGGAAATGGACAAGAAGCTGAATACAGAGATCTAATAAGAGCCTTCAATGACTGGAGTCACAAAAACTGCCTCCTCCTCAACACCTCAAAGACAAAGGAGATGGTCATAGACTTCCGTAGATCCAAACCCCCTCTTCAGCCAGTGAACACCTGTGGAGTGGACATTGAAGTGGTGACATCATATAAATACCTAGGTGTACATCTGGATAATAAGTTGGACTGGTCTAAGAATCTAGACTTCACCTACAGAAAGGGGCAGAGCCACCTCTTTTGCCTGAGAAGACTCCCATCAATAGACATCTGTAGTAAGACGCTGCAGATGTTTTATCAGTCTGTGGTGGCAAGTGTGCTGTTCTACACTGCAGTATGCTGGGGAGGAAGCATCAAACACAAAGATGCAAGACGTCTTAACAAACTGGTGAAAAAGGCTGGCTCTGTGGTAGGAGTCAAGCTGGACTCAGTGGAGGATGTGGTGGAGAGATCTACACTGAGGAAGGTGGAGACTATTCTCAAGAACATGGATCACCCACTTCACAACACCTTGATGGACCAAAGGGCAAATGGTGGTGGACAGCTCCTCTCTCTTCGCTGCAGGACATAAAGATTTAGAAGATCTTTTGTACCAACAGCCATCAGGCTTTATAACTCTTATGTAAATAATAGATAACTTTTATAGACATATTAAGTGAGACAACAGACAATTGAATTTCCCTTCGGGGATCAATAAAGTTCTTCTTATTCTTATTCTTATTCTTATAAAGATTGTATTAAACCAAAATCAATCCATGTGATTGTGGATACAATCAGGGCCGAGAACTGCATCATTTTGTTTTGTTTTGTTTGGCTATTCACATGTACTGCTTTCTTGAAAAACATTTCAATGAAAATACACTGGATGCAGTTCTGTACTTAACAAAATTTTTTAAAAAAAGTACTTCAAGCAAATAGACCAGGACTGCAATCACTTAGCTCCTCAAGTGTTGCCCTGTGTATTATTTACAGAGCTCAGGGAGCGCTTCTACCCTCAGGGCTCTAGGATGCTAAATGAGGTCACTGATTCAGACTGCCTCACCCCCTAACCAACATCGACAGTCATTAATGAGTTGAAATATTGTCATTATTATTAGTAGTAGTAACAGTAGTGCTAGTAGTAGTAGTAGTTGAAGTAGTGGTAGTAGTACATTTTTTCTTATTCCAATCCTCAATGAAAGGATTGAATTGTTTCTTCTGTATTTGCATGTAGCGAGTTATAACATAGACCAAACTATATGAATTGAACAGCTTTCTAACGGTAGTTTTCTGAAGGGCACTGTAGTTTAATTCTCTGAAAAAGAACCAAAATCAATAGGCAAACTACAAATGTTCTAGGCAGTGTGTGGTCTAAAAAGCATATATCAGCATAGGGCTTAGCAGCAGAATATATGCTATATGGCTGTACTTTAAGAAACGTTGCACCAAAAGAGAAACATGATTCATAGAGGAAAATTCTGTAATTTGGAGGTGGTCTCAGATAAACACCCAAGGGTGTTGCGTCATCCCATTAATTACTCCCAAAGTGCAATGTCCTCCAGTACAGTGTACACGACCCACATGTTCAGAAAGATGAGCAGGGCTGAAAAGAGCATGGGAATAAGGTGATAGTGAAATAGAAGGATCAGACAAACAGGAAAATGCTCCAATCAACACAGTTCTTGGTTGGTTCTATTTTGCTCAATCCTTCATTCACATTCACTTGCCAGGAGGGAACAGAAACTTCCAAAGGATAATTTAATTTATGAACTACTCTTGAGGTAAGTGATCTGTAAGGAGCTGCTACCTGTGCCTCGAAATGACTGGTTAGTAGGAAAGGTCCTGGGCTCATATAAATAAGACACTTTCATCAGGAAGTATTGGGGATACACCAAAAAGTTGGCCACTGAAAAATTTCGACTGAAAATGGCCCAAAAGTGCATTTTCGGTTTTCGGCCGAGAGACTTTTATCACCGAAATAACATGGCTGAAACAGATGTTGTGATGACCCAAGCAAAAGCTGCCGCCAGTGTATACTTGTCTGGATAAGAGCCAACATGTCTGGGGTGTGGAACCACAGATAGTGAATAGCATAGCATTGAATGCTAAAATTTCAAGCAGGGTTGCACCTGCAAAGAGTTTCTCTAAGTCAGGTTTAATTTATCACCTGAAATCCAAACATTATGATCGCCATTCTGAGTATGAGGAGCAGATGTTGGTGCCAAATACACAAGAGAACACCTAGAGAAGTTTCACTGCGTCTCACATTTATTCATAACTTTAATAGAAATCAACATTGCAACGCAAACTCATGCTCAGCTCCCACTCTTGCAAAAATATGAAAAAAAAAGAAAAATAGTGGTGCATGTTACCTCTTCTATAAGTCTCTACTGCTTATCACACTTCTTCTCTTATTAGAACATTTAAGTTGTTTTTGCCCCTGACTCGTGGGCTCCATCCAGAGGTGTAAACAACACAGAACATGCAGCAACACACTGACACAAAAAATAAAAACTCACCTTGCATAAAGTAAAATTAATTTAATATTTAATATAGATTGATATCAATTTATTTATTTATACAATGCCTTGATTTTAGTGAGGTTTGTCCACAGTCATAACCATAAATGCAATGTACTAACAAATGGCATAGTAATTAATCTCAGAGTTCGGTTTTCGGTTTTCAGCTTTGGTTCTCATTTTCGGTTTTCGGTTTGGGCCAAGATTTTTCCTTTTGGTGCATCCCTTGGTGGTATTGATCCAGCAACATACTATTTCCCAATAGCTAAAACACACTTTTTATGAAACCAAAATTAAACAAGCTGATCATTAAGCCAAACCAGGCTGATGACTGCTGACACTATACTCTGAAGCAGTACATGAATTTGACAGGATCTGAAAGGGGTTTGATTCAACTAAATAATGGTACAGATGTCCCTGAACTGCCCATGCCTCTGCTCTGCTAATTGGTATGCTATTCAAAGAGAAGTCATTTATTGTTCACACCTGTCCATGTCCCTTTCCATACCACAAGTGTCTCTCTTGTTCTCTTGTCTCTCTCTTGGTTGAACTTCAAGGATTGTTCACTGAACCAGCAAACATGTCAATTTCGTCTGTAATAATATTTCAAAGGGACAGCCTATTCTGATCCTTCTGGATTTGATCAACAGCTAAGCACAGGGTGTTTACAACACACACACACACACACACACACACACACACACACACACACACACACACACACACACACACACACACACACACACTTCTCCAGAGGATAGCATCTCAGAGAAGCAATCCAGCTGCAAATTAGGTTAATCACGCTCAGGAGAGGCCTAGTATTAAACCTCATAGAGGCTATTAAGGTGGCACCTAAATTGTAATCTATGAGGAATATAAACCACAATTAGCCAGGGAGTTCTTGATGGAACCAGCTGTGAGTAACATGACTGGTCATAAACACCCTTCGAGAAAACACTTAATTTTTTAAACCATTTTGAAACCTTGTTCATTAATCCTGCGATATTAATTAGAATTTGACTATACAGAAAACAATTTTCACCTGTGTCCGAGTGAGAGAGCACTAAATACAATGAATATTGACATGAGGATTTTGTGCCTTAGCTTTTGTAGGTCACATTCAGCAAAATTGTATACTCTTTCAAACTGTGTTTTCTCAGTCTTTTTCGTACACATAACAATTACCGTGCCCCCATTTCATCTGGAGAGCTGAAACACACTCATGTCCAAATAGATACCTGTGGCTAACAATTCTCCTGAAGTCCAGTGGAAACTTACAGATGAAGTCCTTCTGAGAGCTGCACTGCGCTTTAATGTGATAGCATCATTAGTGTCTCAGGGACATTAGTGCTCACCATGGGGAATCTAAAAGTGTGTGACGTCCATGAAAGATTGAGCCTGGAGAATCAGAGCCCAGAAGAGATGACTCGGTGCTGGTTGACCCTAAGCAGAGATTATCTGTTTTTGATTGGAATTGTATTTTGGATTGCCTCTCTTAACCACTAGCTGTAAGTCGAATGTTATTTTCTTTGTGAGAGTTGTCCATATGTAAAACCCACTTTGAAAAGTATTGCACTCAAGGAGCAAGCAGCAGGTTGTTTCTTTAAGCAATGAGGATGTATCAGTTTTTTCCTTTGTTTGTTTTTATTTTTTCCTTTTCATTTTTATACTTACTTTTATACAAACACTAAAGTTTGAAGCTTCAGTTGGGCATACCTTTATTCGTGTTTCAGCTTGAAACATTATTCAGGAGAGAAATCACACACACACAAACACACACACACACACATATATATGTATAAATATACAGTATATATATATATATATATATATATATATACACACACACACACACACATACACATATATATGTATGTGTGTGTGTGTGTGTGTGTGTGTGTGTGTGTGTGTGTGTGTAAACCAAAGTCTCATTTTGATCATTCCAAATTAAACACAAAAATAGCATTTAAGGCAAGGCTTTATCCCATACATACTGTTACTGTCTGATCATGACTGGGAACAAACACATTCAGTCCAGAACATGGTCATTTTATACAAATGCTTTTCATCCTACACCATTTCAACAATGCATATAGAAATTCCTAAAGCCAATTATGTGGTTTCACTCATGACTATGCCATCTTGAAATGTTTGGCCAAAATAACATTTTCATTTCATCATCTTATACAACTACACTGTCAAGTTGCATGTACCACCATGACCCCATGAGGTCATCTCTGGTGTTTTGAGTATGATTTAAGTATAATAAATGTATAATAAATGTATGGCTGCAAAGGGCAAAAATTAGAGCTTATGGTGGAGACAAAATCCAGCAGGTAGCAGGTTTGGTCTCACTTCACTGTGTGTCTTGACATCTTTAGCTAACAAACAAATAGATGTGCTGTAAATCAACTTTAATTTGCAGAAAAAAAGTTCAAACAAATTATATTTATAACGCATATATTGCTTTATATAATGACTATGACTTTAGATCATGACTATAATTGTTCTTGTTGAGATGTTATAACGGTCATTGTCAAGCACCAAATTTTTTTTGGGGGGAATGAATAAAATAAAACACTCAGGCCCTATAAATAGTATTGATGATAAGTAATTCTTAATGAATAAAGACAACCTATCACTTTGAGTTTTTAATGTTTGCTTTTAAGGAGGGCAACACAAACTCTAAAATAAATATTGAAATTTAAAAACGATCTGAAAAGAGTTTCACTTATCTCAAGCAGTCATAATTACACTGAGCTAGAACGTGTAAATGTAATCTTACAAACACATTTCCTCTTTAATTATGGGTTTCTCTGGCGCATGAATTTGCCTTTAAAAGTGTGTGGGAGCTGATAGACAGGCTGTATATACGCAACTGTCTGTAGGTTCTGCTCGTATGTTATTTGATGAACGTACTTGAGAAGCTTGTGCCATACTGTTGGCGACCCCCAGCGTAGAGGAAGTGTAATTTTTGGTTATGTTCTACCCTGAAACACCACAAATCATATCAATATAAAGCATCAGCGTTACCATTGTCAATCTAAACGAAAGACATTCATATCGGCTATAAGAACAGTTTTGGTTTTGAAGAACATGTCTATAATTCAGTCATCAATCTCAGGAGACTCGCATAACTTGCAGTGGCGTATATTAGAAAACTGAGTCAGGATGCTTTCGAAACGCAGCATCAAATGTAAAACAGCATGAAAATAAAATCGATTATTTTTGGTTCAGCTGAGTATTAGTGGATAACAGTGAAATGACCACAATATTAAATAACATTGTTCATGTCTTACCTGCGCGAAACACTCCGTTTTACCCACATTTTTCTCGACTTCCAAATCAGTCCTCCTGGTATCCTCCCATTTAGATGGGTTTCCACCAAAGTCGACAATATCTGATAAAAACACTCAGGGGACGGACCTTCCTCCAGCTGTCAGTAACGCAACCATTATTTATGCCATATCCTTTAACGTTGCGCTCAGCAGATATCTCCAACTGCTTCACCAAATCCCACTGTAAATATACCACAACAAGAAATAAGTCTCTTTGGACTTAGTAGTCACCGGCTCTTGTTATCTTCCTTGTTTTCCGTTAAATGGAATGAGGTGGTGTGAGCAGAGCAGACAGGTAAGCGAGAGACCCCCCAAAAATGCCCTCAAACTTCGCCTTTGCAAAAATCTGTCATTACTCTCCTGCTGGAAAGACAAAGATGAGAGCAGCAGAGCGCAAAAACAAGGCGTGTGGTTGGCATCCTCGCCGTTGAAATGTCAGCGCACCTTCTCCCACATTGATGAAAGGCAGATGAACGTCCACGATACTGAGGACGGAGGATGAGGATTTTCGGCTCTCTGAAGCATTGAAGAAAGAAGTCACCGCTGACAGGGGGGTCCTGGTAATCTTCTCACATTTCTGCATGGATTTAGAGGTGCGGAGGGTTAGGCGAAGTAAAGCACGACAAAATAAGTGAATAAGAAAAAATATTGGTTCAACTGAAAAAAAAAAGAGGAGGGGGGCGTTTAAGGAGAATCCTGGAGATGGAGAGTTTTTCCATCGGAGTTAGGTTGAGGAATGAAATCAAAGCTTGTCATCGGAGAGGAGAGGAGGCTGGTCCGTCTCCTGCTGCTCTTCCTTCAGCCTGACGAACGACCTGCCTGCTCAGCCCATGCTGCCGTGACGTCACTTTAAAGCCAAATATGTCATGTGCTGAGTGTCACACGTCATGTGCGTGAGTGTCAGCTCGAAGGAGACAAGGGACGGCACTGCAAAGGAAAGTACTGAATTGAGGTTGATAGTAAGATAACAAATGTAGCACTGCTGCCTCAATGCGTGTGATAAAATTGAAATGAGAGAAAACTGTAAAGTATTATGCCAAATACAAACTGTCACATCAGTTCGACAATCAGCAGACAGACCAACTGTTTCTGGTGATGGGCTCTTTTCAATCCCAAGTAAAATGTCCTTGAATGTATATAACTTGACACGATGCACTCCGGAAACATGTAAATGGTTCAACTATTCAATTAATTAAAATCCACTATGAAACAGAAGGCATTTATGAAATGTTTGCCACTTGGAAATATGACTTTGAAGTGCAGAATATCAAACAGTTGACAGAAAGAAAGTCAATTAAAGGTCCAGTGTTGATTTTCTTAGTCATGACAAATGTTTTCACTTAATTCTTATACATGTTTCCTCTGAAAATACACAGACATGGGTTAATTAGGGTGTTCTTTGCCTTAAACTAATCAGCCTATTCAAATGCTCACAGACTAAACAGATAAGGTTAGTGTTATAGTGCTGTCTTGATGTATCCACTGGGAGGCACCAAAGCCAAAAAATCTGTATGCCAAAAATGGGGGCCTTGGTCCTAAAAGTTTGTGTTACATGTGTGTGGGTTCCAGTGATAGCAAAGAAGTGAATTCTGCCATTTGGGCTGACAAATCAGATTATCTTAGATTGCTGTTAACTTATTACTTGCTCAAGTTGGCACATTGTTGTGGTCAAAATTACTTATTGCACCAAACACTCCTAAAGCCTCTCTGCCCTGGATCACTGATTCTACAGTATATGTGGTAGGGCTAAGCAGAGATGGAAGGCCTCTAATTTCACAGTGCACTTTAAATTTGAAAAGATCTTGTGAAATAAATTAACATGGAGGTTTTTCAGAGCTCAAAACTTTGTGTTGCAGTTGATTGAATCAAACAGACACAACCCCAGAGTTTTATTGAATGTGGTTCATTAAATAAGTGAGACTCCTCCCTCCTTAAATTTAGACTTTACACTAGAAAAATAGACAGATTTTTTTATTATTCTGTCACCACAGTCTCAATATTGAAAAGCAGATTACCACTCCGTTACAGGAATGAACCGTTTTCATCCAATCTTCTGCTATGCTAGAGTCATTTCACACTTTTTCAATCAACACTCTGACATGTGGTTCGGCTGTTAAATGGTTTCGCTCTTATTTAACTGGGAGTTCTTTTTGTGTCGCCATTTAAAATTCACACTCATGTAGTGCTAGTTTGTCCTGTGGGGTACCTCAGGGACCACATCTCCTTACTTGCTAACTGGTAAAACATCTGCAGCATCTTACTACAGATGTCTATTGATCAGAGTCTTCTCAGGCAAGAGAGGCGGCTCTGCGCTTTTCTGTACATGAAGTCTATGTTCTTCTATTCTATTCAGTCCAACTTATTATCTAGATGTACACCGAGGTATTTATATGACGTCACCACTTCGATGTCCACTCCACAGGTGTTCACTGGCTGAAGAGAGGGTTTGGATCTACGGAAGTCTATGACCATCTCCTTTGTCTTTGAGGTGTTGAGGAGGAGGCAGTTTTTGTGACTCCAGTCACTGAAGGCTCTTATTAGATCTCTGTATTCAGCTTCTTGTCCATTTCTGATACGTGCCACAATAGTGATGTCATCTGAGTATTTCTGGATGTGGCAGGACTCAGTGCTGTATTTGAAGTCTGACAAAGTCTTCCAAGCTTCAACTTCACCCCTGTTTCTGTGACAGACAAGGACTGGTGTTCTAGGAGGGAGGCAGTTGAAGGGGTTGGGACATTTGAAAGAGATGGAGGAGGAACAGGAGAAGTTGTAGTGGAGATTTGTTGCAGAGAGGAAGGTGGAGTAGCAGTGGGAGTTCATCAGCTCTTTTCAGATCACCTACCACTCGCTGTCTTTTCTTTTTACTGCTGTGTCCAGAGATGGTACTGAATTCTCTCCACACTTCACGGATGTTGCTGTGTTGTAGATTCTTCTCTATCTTCTTTTTGTACTCCAGCTTTGCCATCTTCAGTCTCTTTAACTCTTGTTGCACTTGTTTGAGTCGTTCTTTGTCACCAACTTTAAAAGCTTTCATTTTCAGGTTAAGGACTGCTTTTATGTCTCTTGTGATCCCGGGTTTGTTGTTGGGGAAACAGCAAACAGTCTCTATCGGTATAACTGTGTCTCTACAGACACAGTTGCTGTGACACTGCTGTGTCCAGAGATGGTACTGAATTCTCTCCACACTTCACGGATGTTGCTGTGTTGAAGATTCTTCTCTATCTTCTTTTTGTACTCCAGCTTTGCCATCTTCAGTCTCTTTAACTCTTGTTGCACTTGTTTGAGTCGTTCTTTGTCACCAACTTTAAAAGCTTTCATTTTCAGGTTAAGGACTGCTTTTATGTCTCTTGTGATCCCGGGTTTGTTGTTGGGGAAACAGCAAACAGTCTCTATCGGTATAACTGTGTCTCTACAGAAGTAGACATATTCAGTAAAACAGTCAACCTGTTTATCAATGTTCATACAAGCCACATCTGTTTCCAGCAGCACATTCCAGTCTGTTGATTTGAAACAGTCCCTTAGAGCTTCAATAGCTTGAGGTGTCCATCTTCTGATTTTAACTTTGGTCACAGGCTGCCTCAGTACACAAGGTCTGGTAGGACAGTTCACAAACTGTGTGAATCCAGTCAGGTGAGAGGAGAGGGTGACATGGTTAAAGTCTCCTGATATTATTATTATTAGTGCCTCCGGGTGTTGAGTCTGTAGCCTGGCAACAGTATTTTGAAAAACATCGCACAGAATTTCTTCAGTTGATTTGGGTGGGATGTAAACAACTACTGTTGTGATATGAGGAAAAGCAACTGCCAACAGTTCAATATCTGGACAACACAACTTTTCCTTGACAGTTATGTGTGGAGGATTACACCATCTCTGGTTGACAAATAAAGCCAGACCTCCTCCTTTCTTCTTGCCACTAGCTTGAGCATCTCTGTCTGACCTTATGAGAGTGAAGCCTGGTCGATCCACACTGGAGTCTGAGTTGTTTTGATTCAACCAGGTTTTACTAAAACACAGGAGACTGCACTCACGGTATTCTTTCTCAGTCTTCACTTATATCTCCAGCTCATTGCTTTTGTTGGGCAGAGAGTTGACGTTTCCCATGATGATTGATGGAAGAAAGGGTTTATATCGCCACCTCCCAGCATTCAGCTTTGCCTTCACCTTTGCACCAGCATGGCAACCATGATAACACCTCTTGATGTCCTCTGGAATTGTATGTTGTTGTCCAGATTTGCTTTTCCTCATTGAAAGGAGTTCTTCTCTTGAGTAAACTCTTCACCCAGCAGAAGTACCCATCAGCAGCCAACAAAAATATGAAAAAATCTAGCAAAAATTACAAAAATTACAGATCATACAGAGAGACCAGACTTGTAACAACCTTTCGGTTCAAGCACATCATTTCTTCAATGGCCCACAACTTCCTAAAGCTAAATATGAACAAGACAAAGGCAATCATCATTGACCCGGACAAACAGTGCACACATCCACAACATCACTTAATATTTAGAGCTTCACTCATCAAATGTTTCTAACACACACACACACACATACACACACACACACACACACACCTTGGAGCATATTTATCACCTCTACATCCTCATCGTTTCATTCGTGACAGAAATACTACACTTTTTGAGATTTTGAGATAGTCGACATAAATGAATTTATAAATATGGACAATTATTACTTTGAGTTTGATCCTCTATTACACAAAACCCAATTCCATTGAAGTTGGGAAATTGTGATAAATGTAAATAAAAACCTATATTCAATTGAATACACTGCAAAGACAAGATATTTAATGTTCAAACTCATAAACTTTATTATTATTTTTTTTTTTTTGCAAATAATAATTAGAATTTCATGGCTGCAACACATGCCAAAGTAGTTGGGACAGGGGGATGTTTACCACTGTGTTATGTCACCTTTCCTTTTAACAACACTCAGTAAACGTTTGGGAACTGAGGAGACTAATTGTTGAAGTTTTGAAGGTGGAATTCTTTCCCATTCTTGTTTGATGTACAGCTTCAGTTGTTCAACAGTCCAGGGTCTCCATTGTCGTATTTTAGGCTTCATAATGTGCCACACATTTTCAATGGGAGACAGGTCTGGACTGCAGGCAGGCCAGTCGAGTACCCGCACTCTTTTTAGGTAGGTAGGTTGAATTTATTGTCCCCGTGAGGAAATTCATTTGCAGTAAGTTAAAGACATGCACAAAGACAGCACACATACACATTTCGATACACTGTCCCATATAAAATTAGAAAAGCACTCGGCGAGCGCAGACCTCCGCCAAGCAGCTCATGTCCCCCCTTAAACGAGACATGCTCTAACCGGGATTCAACCCAGGACCTTCTGGTTGTGAGGCGACAGTGCTAACTACTACACCACTATGCCGCCTATCTACGCCACTGTGCCGCCCATTGGTTTTCTTTCAGCACTGAAAATTCCAACGACACCCTTATATGTGTTCTAGATCACAGTATTCAGAATTTTGTCTGGATCACCACCACGCTGAGACGCACCTCTGGTGAAAATTTCAGGTCAATCCGTCCGTTACTTTCACCGTGAAGTTGCTAACAGACAAACATGCAGCTACTGAAAACATAACCTTCTTGGCGGAGGTAACACAACAAAACGACTCAGAAAAGATAATATAAAAATTCTACTGTACTGTACTGTCAATTCAAGTATTTCAATAAATAGTCTTAAATAATGTATCTGTGCTCAGACCAGCTGAACCAGTATCTAAACCTAAAAAAATAAAGAATAAAGCTGCCCACAATCTATTTTAGTTTGTTCAATTGTGAAAAAGTGAAGGGTCACCGCTCAATCTGGAGAGAAGGTGCAGGATTAGCAGAAACTTAAAAGTAAAAAGAGAGAAACAATCTGCACAATTCTGGTCTGTTGCAAATAGAGCTTTACTGAAGCAAGCTTTCGG